ACAAGAAACCTCTATATTACAACTGACTGAACTCCTTGGAGGCAGATTTTCTTCGTTCAATTTTCGAGCATAAGTTTCAAAATACTTTTTCCTCTTTTTTTTCCTATATCTTTATTCTCCACTCGCCACAACTATATGGGATTAAGGATCCTCCTCTCACATGTAAGAAAATTATCTCAATTGCCATATAAATAAAATTTCTCTCACATTTATCACCGACAACTGATTGGATAAATTTCAGAAACTTCAAACTAAATTTCGTTTTTGTTTCTATTTTCTCTAATTACTTCTAAACTAATAAATTTTATTTCAACAAATCTGTATTCTTGCAATAAAAATATATTTGTTTCTATAACAATTTTTTAGTTGTTACAACAAAATTTTACTGTTTCTTACAACAAATTTGTATTGTAACAACTAAAAATTTGTAGTAGTAACGAATTTATTGTTAGTGCAACAATAGAGATTTGTTAGTTCCAAATTTAGTAAAAATTCATTTTTCTCTGTGTAAACATTTTTGTGAAATAAATATTTGAAAAAAAATTATTAAGGCTTGTAAAAGCTCTTTCTTCATAAAAGCTTTATCATCGTAAAATTTAGACAATTAAATTGGAACAAAATGGTAGTCGAATATATGGAATACCATTTAAATTATTTCAATCTTAGCTATTAATTTGATGATAATGTAATAAAAGGAAGTATTTGCAGATTCTTGACCGTTATATAGGATTAATTACGTTTTCTGGAATGTCAAGCATGCATCAACCACAAATAGCGATTTTGATATATATCCATTTCTCTCCCTCTCTCTATTTATATATATAGCTCTATCAATTAACTACTGGGATGCCAGTAAAAAACTGTTGCAACGTGACAATAATTCAAAATTTTATTATCTGTTTTAAATCAATTAATTAGTAAATATTGTGCAGTGAATAAAAAAATTTCAAAAAGACGACTAACAATTTTCCAGTACTTATTTTTATTATTATTTTTTTTTTTATGTTTAATACGAATTTTGATGATATAAATTTATTTAAAAAAAAAAATTCAAATAAAATAAAATAAAGATGATAAATGAAAAGAATAAAAAAAAATTGTTATTGACAGGTGATAATAAAAAATATAAAAAATGGGTTTCAACTAAATCTGTTTTCTCGATTTCGTGTATCTTGCATGATTTCATTTGAAATCCATGACACAGTGCGTGCGTTCTCTTTATGTGTATAGATATATATGTATATATAAATGAAAGCTCCGCGAACTGAATAGAGATCCTGAGGGGTATGGTGGAGAAAATTGCAGAGCAGAGCTTGCCAGGGGTTCAAAGTTGAACTACAAAGAACAACTTTGACCCGAGTACTTCCTGCCAAAAGGGAGTGGACTATATTTACTAGTTCAGTATTCGATAAATAATAGGAAGGCATACCTATCGAAATCTTTCTAATTGCAAATTATTTCTTATCATTGTTTGTTTTTAAGATTATTTATATTAGTTTTTTTCTATTATTATTCAAAATAGGAAATTTTTTTTTAAGAAATCTATTTGTAATTTTATTTTAATTAATTAAAGTAATTTGCAATGAAATATTAATTATGAAAAAAATGTAGATTTAAATAAAACAATTATTCAAGTGAAATTATGGGGGAAAAAATTTCTATTTTGTTTAAATTATGTAATATTAATCGTTATTTAAATTTTATTGGAAAAATAACTCGAGAGGAAATAATAATGTAGTTCTTTTTTAAAAAGCAGCGAAATATAATATGAGGCATTTTCAGAAAAGCTTGAGAGGAATCTTTTATGATCCGCATATTGCAATATTATTTTCGTTTATATTTAGGTTCCCATAAAATTTTAACAACCCTATTGTAACAATAACATGAACTAAAATTACCAGCTTTGAAATTGAAAGAGAATTTTGCTTTTTAATTCGTTTTTTATATATATATGTATTTTGTACACATCTAATATTTAATGTAATCACTACGAAAAAAAAAATTTCCAATTTTTATTCTTGTTCATATATACAGCACGAGCGTAAAAATATTTTTTTTTTGCTGTTATTTCGTACCCGTTAAAATAGAAACCGAATTTATTTTTTATTTTTTAAATAAAAATCGAATACTTCATGCAAACCAATTAACGAAAAATGTAGTACACAATTAGAGTATAGCGCACAATATTGAAAGAAAAAGAACATTTTTTTTCCCCTCCTTTTATGTATATATGTAAAATTCTTGCCTAACGATAATTATTTGTCGTATTAATTAATGTATATTTTAAAGTGTTGTTTTATATTGAAAAATATTGAAAATATATCACAAGTCGGTGATGGAGAATAACATTTTTTTACCTATATATAATGTGGGTAATTTTATTTTAGTACGATATTAATTTGATTTTTATAGAAATAAGATTCATTATATTTTTTTTACGATCTCTAAATATGATACACATGTTTTTAGATTCTTAGAAAAATATAACAGAAAAAAATTAAATTACTAAAGCAAAATGAAAAATGTTATTAAAAATAATCCCGAAGACATAACCTCAAAATTACCAAAAAGGATCATGGCTATTCTTTTTTTTGAGGTTATGTTCTTTTAGAAACAAATTGGATCGATTAAAAATTAAAATCGATGTAATTGTCGGTATGATTTGAAATTTAGAGATTAAATATAATATTGGTTGTTCTATCATTATTAAAATTAACTGTCGAATTATTATTATTAAATTTTTTAATCTATATCATTTTAATTAATTTAAAATTAATATTCTATGTGACCCGCACACGCGGTATTTGGAAGAAGGAAATTAATATTCAATTTGTGTTTGAAAAAAATGGCGTGAAAACGAAAGAGAAAAGAGAAGCAAATACGGAATGAAAGCTCTCGGGTGATATTTAATTTTTACCAGCTTGGTGATTAAGCGAGTTTAAAATCATGATAATTGTGAAGCTAGGCAAGCTCTACACAAGAAGAAACTTTATTGCACAAGGGGAGGAAAAAAAAATTTGTCACCACATGAAAAAACAAAAGCAAATGAATAGTTCATTTTTGTCGTATTTACTTTTGGCTTTGTGTTCACTTTTCACTACAGAGAAGAGAAAAAGAGAGAAAGAGATAATATATTTTAGCGCACTGTGCAAGACAATTTTTTTTTTTTTGTTTTAATGCAAATTAAATTATTTCATCCTACTCGAAAATTAAGTGCAATTAATTGTCTTGTAATTAAAGCGAACAGAGAACAATTCTGTAATTAGAGGAACGGACTATGACTTGTTTTTCCATTCATTATTGTATGTATATATAGGTATACATATATAGAATACGTATATGAAAACCTGATTATTGTTTGAGCTAATAATATTATTATCGATTATATTTAAGTTAATTATTTTGTTTGACAATATTAATTTTAAGTAATATTTTCGAATTATAATTTTCATGATTAATGAGGTGATATTTATTATTTAATTTGCAATTAACACAAAACTATATTATATCTATCTGTCTATCCATTATTGTTAATTAATTAAATATTTAATTTATAATCTAACAATCAATCTGTGCATTTGTCACTCAATTCAATTATAATTAAAATTATAACTTAATATTATGAATAAATTTTTTTAATGAATTTTTCACACATCGTAATTATATGAATTTAAATTTCCCGCGCTCTATTTAAAGAATTGAAGCAATGTAATAAAATTCAGGGAATCCACACGTATATATGAAAATGAATATTTAATTTTTGACTTTATGATTTTTTAATTTTAGTGCGAAGCAATTGAGTAAAGTAACATTTTGCGGATTATATATAGGTTTTGGAAACAAAAAAAGGGATCAGCAAAAAGAGAAAGAAAAAAAAATTTTTTTTCTAAAGAAATTCTGCACTTTAGGTTAATTGCCTTTGCATAATTAATATATGTGCAATAAAACCTGCTATTGTAATTCTCATTAACTGCAGCTTTTACAATCCAGCATTTACCGAAATTGCTAGATTTAACAAAGCAATAATTTTGTCCCCCATACCCATGTACAATTTTCGAGCGGAAGTGAAAAATTAAAATTCACTTGAATCTTTGTATTTATATCTAAATATTATACGATTTTAATGAGATTTTTCATCTCTCAATATGAATGGAATTTTTTTTTTTAATTTTAATTTAAAAATAATTATCTCTAAAATTCAATTTAAAAAAAACGTTAATAATTTCAATTAGATGAAACGGTTTAAAAAAAATTTTTTTTTAGTAATTTCAACTCTACATCATTCAATTTTAATCAAGATTTAAAATTTAATTATTTAATTTTTTTAAAAAACAAAAGTTTAATTGTAATTCAATAATTTTTTCTCTCTTCTTTCCTTTAATTAAAAAAAAAAATTATACTGTTTTCTAAATTACAATTTGAAAAACTATGATTTTTCAAAATTAATTCAAATATTTTTAATTTCTTTATAGTTTTATTTATTTATACCTTTATATTTAAACTACATAAAATTTTTATTGTTTATAATCTTTTTTTCTGTTATTTCATTTATATCAAGCTGTTAATTATTATTAACTTGATTTACGCATGGTAATTATTAATTCTAATCACCTACTTTCCATAATTACATTTCCCGCAAATAATTATTCGCTAAAAATTATCATTTCAAAATTAGCTACTTATAATTAATTGTTTATTTACTTTTAAAAATTATAAAAAATAATTCGTTAGTTAATAATAATTTTTTAGTTATAAATAATGTTAATTGATTTTAATTTCAAATGATTTTTTTTTATTTATTTAAATTATTTATTATTTTTTTATTAAATATTTTTTTAACGAAATTTATTTATTAAATTAAAAATTATTTAATTAAATAAAAAAAATCATTGTTCTTAAAAAAATTAATAATTTTTACATTAACTTTTTTATTTAAAAAAAAAAATTGAAGAACTTTATTTTGGAGGGAAATATGAAAAAAAAGGAGAAAAACGACTCACCTTTCGTTGAATAAGAAGAAACTGGAGAAGAAATGTGTGAGGTGAAAAATCCCAAAGTGAAGTTAATTGAGGGTTTCACAATTTGAGGAAGAAGTAGCGGAAGAAATATACAAAGAGATAAATGGATCGGATCTTAGCGTGACTTCAACGACAAATGATACACAACAAAGTGCGCACCGTGAGCTCGTGCTTCCACGCTTTATACCCTGGAACTTGCACCTGTGCTTGCGCACAAGTTAGTCTTTAAAAGCTCGGAAGGTTCGCTCTTCCGGTACAGAGAGAAATGGACCATCCGCAAAAGTCTGCACGTGAACATTTTACTCATCTCTTTTCTTTATTTTTTTCCTTATTCCTCAACTTTCTTTTTCAAGATATTTAATTGTGAAAAAATGTACATTTTCAAAACTCTTCTTCAAAACTATTCTTCACAATATTATTATATTAAAAAATTATTTTATTTTTATCATTGCAACATGTTTTTTTACTGTAAAATATATTTTGTATTATCAAAAAATTTTAAATCACGAATCGACGATAAATAAAAATTTAGTAAATTTGTCCAGTTTACCAAAATGCTACGCACGCACCGTATCCCAGGTAGTTGCGCTTTTACTATCAAAAAGTACATAAACAAATTTTTTTATATTTGAAACAAATAATTACATTTATTTTTTTATTGGTGATTATTATTATTATTTTTGTCATTATTATTATTATTACTGTTTAGCTGAATGCTTGTCAATGGCCATGAAGAAAAAAGCCATTATTCTATTTTATAAAGGGCAATTATTTAGTGCGTATATGCCATGTCTCAAGCTCGAGTTACTATACTCCTTCATATACGTCTCAAGCTCATAAAATTTTTTCTTTCATGTTGCTCTTCAAATTCTATGACTCTGCATAAAATAAAATTACATCATATACTCAATTGCAAAGAGAAGCTTTCCAACTTTCACTCGAGGAAAAACATTAATTTTCTTTTCTCATCTCATTATAATATGGAATAATATAACTCAATTGGAAATAAATAAATATTTAATAGATTACAGTTCAATAAAATAATAATTAGTTCAATTTTTCCGCCATTTTGAATTTTGAAAAACTGACATCGGATTCATAATCAGTGACCTCAAAAATCCTCGATTTTTATATGAGTTTAATTTTTTTATTTTTGCCCGCCATATTTGTTCCGCCATGTTGAATTTCAAAAAAAACAATCAACGGAATGAAATAATATAGACATTCCAATAGAATATTAAATTTTTTAAAAATCAAATCAATTTATAGTGAAATGGAAAATTTTACGTGATAAAAAAAATTATTACTGAACACGTAATTAATTCATTGATTTTTATTTTTTTTATGAGAATATAACGAAAAAGAATCAATTCGGACAGCGAGGTGATAAATTGATTTTTTTTATAAACCTGTATGTGTGTATGTATGTACATGAAAATGCAGTGTAGTAGTTCATTGACAAGCTCCTCGGTATGGACCAAACTGAATTTATTTTGTTTCAAAACACCGGAGGCTTTCGTCAACGGTTCCGATTCATAAACTACAATATATATATGTCCCATAGTTACATTGCAAACAAGATATTAATTAATTGAAATTTTGAATGATTTAATTAGAAAAATTTTTTCATCAACGTTAAATTGTATATGTCATATAAAAAAAAAATTTTTTTCCCTCGAAATTTGTATTTTTGTTATAATTTTAAAATAATATTCGGTTTTACATTTTCATCGAAAATTGAAATTAACTCATACATTTTTTTCAATTGATTTGAAATATGATTAAAAATGATTTTAAAAAATTAAAATTTTCATATTTAAAACTATTACTTAGATGATTTAAAAGTTCTTTTTTTGCAAATTTAAATATAAAATTTTAGATTCCAGGTGACTGCCAACATTATAATTGTTTGTAACTATGTTCTTTAATGTGATTGTCTTGATGGACACATTTAATCGAATCAAGCATAGAATTAATTATTTCTAACCGCTATGATTTCGAAATATTTCACTTTCGCAGTATGTTCAAAAATTTTCGCGATAATTTTATTTTCATAAGTTAGTGTAAATTTTCGATTCTAATGAAATATGTTTATAATTGATAATTTATTTTATTCAAGTTTTTTTTTAATGAAATTGATTAATTGTGAAGTTTCCGAAACATCGAGTAAAGTTGAGAACGCTGCGCGCGTCGCAAATGGAAAATGGAGATGGCACGCAACAAGCCAATAACTTTCTATTTCTCCCCTCTCTTCACAGAGTGTTCTCAACTTTTACATAAAACCAAACTTTTTTTGAAATTCCCTTAAATTATTTTCAAAAAAACCCTTTTAGACTTACGATTAAAATTTGAATAAAAATTTAATTTGTTAATTAACATTTCAAAAAATTTAATTATATTTGTTAATTTTTAAAATATGGAAAATAAATATAAAAAAAAAAATTGTAAAGCAGCACCTTTAAATCGCACTTAATTATTGGATTCTCCACAGTTTCTCAGGAGTCAATTCTCATTAAAGGCGATGGAAGAAAAACATTCGGCCAATGTTACTGCTCGAGAGCAATTTGCTTAAAAATTTAATTGGCAAAGTGTTTACTTTCTAAATGAATCCGCGAAATTCTAGACATGTGTATAACTTTTAAATAAATACGAGAGAAACTTTCCGAGGAAACTATATCCTTCTTGCTGAATGTCAACATGGTTAACACGTTAGACGATAACTCGAAATGGGGTGGGGGAATCAAAAATGTTTTTTTTTTAAATATATTTTAATTTTTATTGTTAATTTTATATAATATTACGTTATTTTATAATAATCCCACCGCTGTCACCATTAATTTGATTTCTTCCGTTAAATTAATTATTTATTATTTCAAATTATTATTTAACTAACAAAAACTAAAAGTATTCCTTTTTCATATGTTTCTTTTATTCTATATGCTCTTTATCAATCGTCTAAAGTGCTAAGCGCGTGTTGCGTTAATTAAATAGAAAGTTCAATAAAAGAATCCAAAAACGTCGATAATTATAAGAGTTAAACTTGTTAATAGAATACAAAAAACTAAAACAATATAAAAGATGAAAATAGTGTAATGATTATTTATTATCAGCAAGACCATCTAATTATCAAATTTATAAATCCAATATTAGTTGATTACACAGCAATGATTAGAATAATTAACTGTAAAAATAATGGAAAATAATTTTTATAATCAAAATATTATTATTTATATTATTATTTTATAATTATTACCCAAAAAAAAATTTAATAAAATTTTATTAACAATTTTTCATCTATGGCTAATAACTTGAATTCATATGCCAATGAATATCATTGTTAATGGACGGTTTAAATTTATTATTAAATAATTCCTTTGTTAGATGGGTCGCATTCAAATGCCCTAAATGACTAATCATTAATCAATGATTGTCTCAATTACAGAAGGCTATATAATATGTCCATAGATGCATATTTTCAACGACTTTTTCAAAAGATCTAATTTTAAAAGAAATGGAATGAATCTCGGAATTTATTAAAAATAAATTTAATTTTTTGAATTAAGTAGAAGAAATGATTTTATTAAATAAATTTGAAGAAAAAAATATTGATTTCGCGTGTAAAACGCGACCTTCGCAGCAATGCAGTATATTGATATATGATGTTGGTGATCCAGGAAATATGTCTATTTGGCGAAAATTGAGAGGTCTGATATGTAAGAGTCAAGTGGTGATATAGGATCAGCTGAGATGAAAGAAACAGAGCGAGAACAGTGCAATTTCTGAGTTTCACATATACAAAGATACAAAATTCCTACACATAATGCTGATGTTGCTGTCTTAAAAAGTATATAATGAAATAATGCCTCAAACACCAATTTTAACAGCACTTTACTATACTATAACGGTAATATTGAACGTTCCAGAAGAGAAGGGACCCTACGTCAAAAAAAATTTAGGTTATGTTTAGTGATAGTTTTACCATGATAAAAAGTTCTTTTTTAATTAGGTAAAACCAAAATTAAAAGTTATGATTCTCTGAGAGTATTTTTACTCCGAAATCACAAACATAACCTAAAATTTTTTTGACGTAGAGTCCCTTCTCTCGTACATACGAAGACGAATTTTAAAAAATGACCATTTCAATAAATTAAGTTTTATTACTTTTAAGAATAATATCTTTTAGATAAATGTGAAATGATAAGCCCCCAGCAATTGATTGAACGATTTTTTCCACTTCTCGATATATATATATATATATATATATTGGGTGCCTATACACTGTGAAAAATAATGTCTCGGGCTGTCCAAGTTTTTGGTTCTTTGAACCCGTCACGTATCATGTGTGATAATATCTATAAGTAGGTTTTGCACGAGATTTATCCAACCACCCCTCCGCCCATTGGGTAATACCTTCTTCTTCTTCTTCTTTTTCCCACGAGAACAAAATTGCAAGGCTCACAACTTTCATTTATGGAGTCACTCCGTTATCGCCCAGCCTCCGGATATAATGGATTTCATTATTTTATATATATAGAGAAAGAGAGGCTTTTCTCTTGACTTTTCTTGTATGTGTAAGGGACCATATGGAGCCGCGGGTGGTGGTGGTGGTTTAGAAAAATAATGTGTTTCACGATCATTTCTTGTTCTATGTCAAAAAAGACGCTTACCCTAGGACCGGGATATTTTTTTCAAATGATTGAGATTGGTCGAAGTAAAAAAAAGTGACACGACAAAAAAAGGAAAACTCTTTTTTTTGTCGTTTTACTTTCTGATTAGGATATTTATATATCATTTGTAAGAAAACAAATTATATCTGTCAATTAAAAATATTTTATATAATTATTTAATTTATAAACAATAATCAAAAATTGATAATAATAAATTCAAAATTAATTTATTTAATTATGTAAAAATTAACAATCAAAATAATAAATAAAATTAAATAACTGTAATAAAGTATAAGTTATGTTGTAATTTAAATTTATGTAATTATGAATACATGATTTCTTTTTTTAAAAAAACATTGATATTTAAAGTTATCGTTAGCTGATAATATTGGGTTTTCATAGTCGCTAATGTAGAAATCACATTTTTTTACTCTTTTGGTACATAAATTTCCGGCAGTCGGTATCATTTTCACGAAATAAATTTCTTTTTCCATCAGAAGATAATTATGAAAATTTTACTTTTAGTTCATTTTATATTCAAAATACGAACGTTTTAGTAGAAACTTATTTTTGTTAATAAAAACTATAAAATACTTAATTTAAAAAAGAAATATCAAAATAATATAAAATAAATCAAATCTCATCAAATCTATATTAATTATACAGTAAATACTTGAATGATAATTTTTTTTTGAAAACTTATTTAATTTCTTTGAAATTATAAAATAGCAAATTAAAAAAAGAAAACAGGTAAAAAGAGAGAATCTTCTTCTTCATTTTGTTCATTCGAATGCTTTATTTATATATGCTTATTGAGTGTGACGTAGAAATTTTTTTTTAAGAAGAGAAAATGTTCGACATACAAATAATTTCAATATTAATTGTAACAAGTTGCGCATTATACATGTATAATAATTTATAATAAATTGTTATTCATAATTAATCCAACTTATAAATATATATATATATATGTACTTCACACAGGTCGCAATTAACAATTTTTTTTCAAAAATGCACATTAAATTTATAATTTTTCAATTTTTTTATTACAAATATAATACGAATTTTTAGATGAAAAAAAAAATAATAAATAATTTATAAATATCAGACATTATTAATGACAATACATATTATTTATAATGAAAATAAAAATACAATTTTCAACAATATAAATATATTATATATGTATATATTTTTTTTATTTATAATATAACGAATACCCTAGTTTAGGGCTATAATATATATTTAATATATAAAACAATTTGTAGATTTCTCAAAAAAAATTAATTATATGAAAATTAAAATTTTTTATAATAAAAATTTCTGCATTAATAAATAAAAATAATCATTTACAAGAGAACGTAAAATAGAAAATAATTAAATCTTCTTAATTTTTTATTTATTCAACAATAACAGCAATTTGTTTTTTATTTTATTCATTCGGCAAAAAATTGACGAAAATTTTTATTACAATTTATAAACAAGATTTTAAATAAAAGAAAAAATTGGAGAAACAACAATATTTTTTTTTGTTTTGAAATGAGAATAATAGGAAATTATTTTACAAAACTAGAGTATAGTGAAATTTCTTATATATTTGATAGTACGTGCATTTAGAGATTTTTTTTTTTTTTTAATAATAAATTCTCTCCTCGCGCAATTATTTATATTTTTATATTTGAAAGATTCTTAAGTATCAGTCCCAAGAGAGTTATTTTTTCTCAATATGATTCTACAAGTTAATTTGTTTGTCCATTTTATTCAATTTGGCACGTAAAATCGAATTTTTTTTAATATATGCAAAAATCAGTACTCTTTTTAAAAAAAAATAAAGAAAAACAATTTTTTTCCTCCCCTTTTCCAATGAGAATTATTTAGCCTCTACTTATTAGAATAAGACGACTAATTTATGTTCTATTTCAAATTAGCATTCGTATTACGCTGAAAAAAAAGTAAAAAGCACTGTTATTATTTATTAATTTTTTTAATAATTATCACTGAAATATAATTTTTAAGAAAAAAAATTATATAATTACCATTATTTTCATGAATCTAAATTGTCTTGAATTGTCATTTGTTTCCCGATTTTTAGGAAGCAAAATAATTTCTTCGCTACTATCATCATTGACAAATGGTTCCGTCGACTCGTGTAAAAATCCTTCCGATTCCTTTGATTCCTCATTGCTCTCTGTGTTCTTTAAAAATCTCTCATTTTTCTCACTTGGCAATCTATAATTTATATTCCTGAAAAATGTTTTTATTTTTTTATAATTTTTATTTATCAATTATTAATTTTTGAAATATTTAATAATAATTATTGTATAACAAAAATTTTACTTGTACGATTATGAATCACAATTCTTCTTTTATTTATAAATGTTTTGACTGAAAAAAAAAATTCTCCATCTATTACCTCGTAATATCATTTTCTTCTTTTGATGCAATTGATTCGTTGCTATCCCAATCGCGAGAAGGTAAACTTTTTCCTTTCAATATATTCATCCACCTAACTCGATATTTTCCAGATGACGGCATCGGATGACGTTTATTAATCAAGGGAGACAACATCCATTGATCGTTTACCAAAGGTAGAACAATATTTTTATTGTCTTCATTCATTCGTAAGTTACTTGATCCAAAATTATTTCCACTTCGCTTACCGTGGGCTGTAATTAATTTTTTTTTTTTAAATAAAATGTAGCATAAATCAAATTTGAAAAGTTTGAAAAGTAGATTAGAATTTTTTAACAAAATTATAGTACAAATGAAAATTTTTCTTTTTGGGAGAAATTAAAAATTTTATGCGTGCAGTGGAGAGAATCACTAAATAAAATTACTCACCGCCCCAACAAGAATGTCCATAGCTCAAACAAGAACCTGAAACTCAAATAGAAATAAATTATTATTATTAATTAATTATTTCGCCACAATTTAAACGCTAAAATATTATTTCTTAATTTTTTTCTCTGTATTGAATGTGTATATTCAATCCACCTCGACCCACGTAGAAATTTTTCAACCTATTATCAATTAGTAATTGCTTCGTAAAAGTTTGTAAGCTCACTGTTATTTAAAAAAAAGTTTCTTTTTAACTGTCGAGCACTTGAACTTTTAATAAAATGTTTAATAATTTTTAAGTGGCTTATATTCAATAAAAATTTATCTTATTATTTTATTTCATTGAATTTAAATAAAAAAATTCTAATTTAAAAAAAATTTGTAATAGAATCACATTTTCCTCTTCGTCATTTTTAAAGGGATAAATTTTTTTTTTTTTTGCAAAAGAAAATAGATTTATTATAATTTTTTTTAATATTATAGCGACTGAAAATGGATTTTATTAGGCACAAGAAATGATGAATGCAGATTATGAAGTTGTGCCCTCTGTGGAAGGTATTCAATTTTCTTTTAAAGACTTTTTTTTCGTTATCAAAGGCTGAGCGCTTTTCCTTGTTCAGATACTCTTCGACCAATAATCAACAGGTGCCCATGGGAATTGGTGAACCAGTGCAAAAAAAAACTCATTCAACCTGATTGTAAATCAGAAAAAAATTTGTTAAACGATTTACTATTTAATTAGATTTCTTAAATATTTTGGTGACAATAAATATAATAACTCCTTGATTGTCAAAATATTTAACATTGTTTATTTAAAAAAAACATTTTTTTCCAAAAAAAAACATTTTTATTGATTTAAAAAATAAATTCTATTACCGAATAATTCTCTTCGTGTGCTACGTATTTTGTTTTTGTATATTTATAGAGAGTTTCAATTTTAACTAGCAACGTCCCATTGCAATTACAGGAAAAGTGATTTCAATCGTTTTGAAGAAACATGTAGTAATGAGTCGTGCTGTACATTCTAATTTCCATTCCGGAATAAGATTGGAATGGTCTTTTAACGAATAAGAAGCCGAGTAAAATGTTTTGAGTGTATCCTAGATTGCACTTTAATTAATTGCAAAATGTAAATGTTTTTTACATGCTTTAGACCCTTTACCTTTATTATAAATATAAGAACATTTAACTAATATGCAATAAAATCTATGTTATTCTTCATTTTCTAGAAAATAATATTAACAGAGAAATCTAAACGAATCGGATTCAAAGACAATTTTGCATTTTTTTTAAGCAATTAGAAGATTAGAAAGAATTTGAATCCGTTCTTCATCTAAAAATTTCCACAGAAGATCTTAAATTACCGACGGTAGTATCTGAATTTGCCTTTATTATTCTGAAAAACTCCGCTAATCTGAAACTTGCGTCATCAGTGTGTAACCTATCATCAGAATAGTTAAGTTCTTCATACAGCAGTCTATTTCAACCTTGGCATCTGTTTCGTTACAGGTCTATTTTTCATTGGCACCCGTCAGCTATTTTTCATCAAAGTAACGAAACTCGGTTCAAAATTAAAGGTACCAAATTCCTGTATCTTGGAGAATAAGCTTAAGTTTCCTAAATAACGTAACGGATTTTGGAATCTCCTAAAATTAGATTAAGCTTAAGTTTCCTAAATTATCATTTTCTCTTTCTCTCTTTCTGTCGCAGAAAAAAATAGGACACAGTCAATAGTACACAGAAAATTAAAAGGCATTAAAATAAGCTGCAACGCTTATTATTTTAATCCAATTTTTCTTATTTTAATCCATTTTGGTATTAAAATAAGCAAAATTGGATTAAAATAATAAGCGTTGCAGCTTATTTTAATGCCTTTTCATTTTCTGTGTACTTATTTTAACAAAATTAACTAAATATTCTCACTGGATGAGCTTAACATACAGATTTAATATAAAATCCGCAAAAATTTTCACGCCTTCTAATATGATGAAGTACCTTCATTCAATTATTTTTGTTTAGAAAAATAAATAGCGAATTGTTTAAATAAACTTTATTAATGAATTGAAAAATAATTGATTAATTGATAAAGAAAAAAAAATTCAATTTGTTTCATTAACTTTAAATAAATAAGAGATTTTTCGTCCTACCTGCAGCGCAACCGGCGAAACAAAAAACCAACATGAAGATAAGGGACCATGTTACACCTGTCAGACTGTACGAATTCTTCGTTACTACCGCACCGTGTTTTCCTCGCATGTTTAAATTCATTTCTTCTTTACCTCCTATTATTTCTCTTTTCTTGTCTGAAAGTACAATTTTTAAAAAACTAACTAAACAAAAATTAATGAATAATAATAGGTCAAAAAAAAAATCAAACTTCATTAACTTTAAGCTAAACAAAAGCTAAATATTTTATTTATTTAAAAAAAGTATATGGGCTAAAAATTGAAAAAATCAAAAATTATGAATTCTTATAATATTTTAAGGAACAAAATTTTGAAACAGAAAAAATTATTCTACATTTGAAATAACTTTTTAGAAAAATTCTATGAATATATAAACTGATTTTTATCAAAAATATTATAAATTTAATTATTTTAAAAAAAATCACATTTCCTTTTCTGTTTCAGTTAAATAATAATATACATGCAAAACGTCTTTTATTTCCCATCTATAAAAAATGTAATGATTATTACCAAAGCAAAAGTAATAAGAAAGTAATTATGTTTTCAAATTAATAAAATCATAACCAACGTTTTCATAGTTTATTCGCACAATATTTTTAAGACACATTTTAACTTTATGAGAAAGAATTCTAAATTGAAATTGAAATTGAAATTGTAGGTTGAATTTATTTTTTACACATTAGTATGAAAAATATTTAATAACATATTATATATTATGTTTATAATTCAGCATTATATTTATTAAATTTATTTTCTTTTTAACGATCTTGTAAAATTTTCACATGACAATAATTTATTTTTTAACATAAAATTTCAGTAAAAATTTTATAAAATTGTTAATAAAGAAAGAAAATTAAAAAAATATATTTTTTTTCATTAAGCAAGAAAATTTGTTTGTATTGTTGCAAATAAAATTTTATGGGATTTATGAGATATGTTTTGAAACAGAAAGTGAACAGAAAAATAGCACTGTGTGCATTAGGGAAAAAGTTTTCTTTACTCTTAGATTCGGAAAGTCTCTTGAGCCACACAAACGTCATCCTTTGACTTCACAAACTGATTATTGCATCAATAGGATATGTGATCAAAACAAAGAAAAATTTAATTCGTACAAAGAAACGTCACTATTTTCAAAGCCCAAGTTTGTGAAAAAAAAATTTAATTTTGTTGTTAAAAAATTAAATTAAACTAAATTTCAACATTTTTATTTTATACTTATTGTTGTTAATTTTTGTCAATTAAATTTTTTTTATATAAATAAATTATTTATCCGTAAATATATTTAGTAAATTATTTATGAAAATTTATTTATTTTCTAAATAACTTTTGTTTAAATAAATTTTTTATTATTATTTATTGATATTTTATTTTTTTGAAGAAAAGTCGAAACTTTTTTTTATGTTAATGTCAAGTAAAGTCATTTGAAGATTGTAATTAAAATTTAATTTTGTTTGAATTATTAATTTACTTTACAAAAATACATTGTATTTCTCACAATTTCAATTAAAAGGAATAATTATGTTTTTTCCATTAAATTAATTAAATTTTGCATCGTGATAGAATTAATTTTTCATTTAATCTTAAAAAAAAAAATTTTTAACTTTCGAGACAGAAAATTATAAACATTTAAAAAAAATTATCTGTAAATTTTTTTTTATTAGATTTTTATTTTTTATATTCTTAAGAGTATAAAAAAAATTATACTGTTTGTATTAAAATTAAATATGAAAATGATTAGAAAAAAATAAAATATACCTAATAGAAAATTTTCCACGTTTACTTTTAAAATTTATTTCAATAAAGTGGAAAAAATTGTTCATAATTGGATATCTGCCAATAACATGAATGTAATTTTTACCCACTAAATAATAACAACAAAATTATCCATTTTTTAAAGCCTTATTAACTTTGAAGGGAGAATTCTTTTTTTCTTTTTAAATTCGAATATCAAAAAGTTAATACTAAAGTTTTTTAAAAATATATTTCGCGTGATTTTTTCAAAAACGATAATTAATTAATAAAATTTTATTTTGCAAGCCTGTTTACTATAATAAATAAATAAATAAAACTTTAAAGAAATATATCTTATATTTAATAAAAAATATTTTGTAGAAAATTATTTTTGTATTGAAAAAAATTTAATTAGTTAAAAAAATTGAAAATAACGAAAAGAGGGAAAAGAAAAAACCAAAAAAATTAGGCAATAAAAATAAGAAAACAAAAAATATGAAATTAGAGTCAAAAAAATTTATTTATAAAATAAAAATCATTTTAAAAAAATTTTTTTACAACAAAATTTGTCTATAAAATAAAAATCATTTTGAAAAATTTTTTTCCAAAAAATTTTGCGAATAGAAATGAAAAAAAATGAAAATTAAAACAAGAGTTTCAAAAAAACTGCAAGAAAATCATCAAAGCAGAATATGTGACACTGAAGAAAATAAATCTCCGTAAAACCAATTTTATTAAAAGCACTGTGATCGCACCTCAACAAATTTTCCTTGAGGCGAAAAAATTGCACTCTTTTGTAAAAAGACACTTGCTAATATTATAATCACGTTCTATTGTTATAATGAAAAATTTAAATATCTTAGTCAACATTGACGAAGGATTCGTAACAGAACTCAAGATAAAATCGTAACTACGAAAGCTTTTATAGACACACCATGAAAATTTCAATGGTGGGGTTGGTCCAGGCGCGCTGCAGAAAATGCGCACCTACGCTATCAACAGATTAACAGAATATGTACCCTCAACAATATGTCAAAAAGACATTTAAAGGTCAAAATTCAATTAAATTTTTGCAAAAAAGGTAAAAAGAAATTTTTTAAATTGGTTCATTTTTTCAAAAAACGCACCCTTTTTTTCTTATTCGACCCCCCCCCAAATGTTTCTTTCGATTGGACTCGAAACTATTTTATGAATTTATAACAAAAAAGCTAACTATTTATAAATAAAAAATGGCGTTTAAAAGAAAGATTTTATATTTTCAATTTTTAAAAAGATTTTCTATTTCAAAAACTTTGAATATTTTTTAATAATAAAATGTAGGTGACAATATTTTTTAATAAATTTCCAAAAAGTAATTATAGTCAATTTTTGATAAAGGATAATTCCAGTTCACTACGTTGTATTTTATATTTTCGTTGAATAATTAAATTAACATTTACAATATTTCCAATGTGTTAAAGAACTTGAGTGTTTTTCATTACAAACTCCTACACTTGAAAAAAAAATAAAAAAATTTTTTTTTTTAAATTTCAAAAATGCAGTAGGTATCAATTAAATTTTAAAGAAGTATTAAATTCAATTATTTTTCAAGTCAAATTCCAGGGAAACTTGCATTACTAAAGCGCATATTTTCTATAAATATAATTTCATTTGTCACTTGTAGAAAAATAAATAAAAAAATTTAATATTTATAAAAAGTTTCGAAATATTGAGATTTTATAGAAAATTAATTTTTTTATTGTGGTATGAAACTTTCAATCAAGGTATAAAAATATCATAAATATAACCTCTATAATTTTTTGCTTTTTAAGTCCCTTATTTCTTCAAAGCCCGTCTCACGTACGTAATTTCAATTTTTGGTCATATCTTTTAAATTTTACGACTCAGAAAATAAATTAAAAACAAAATTCTATTTTTTCACAAAAAACAAAACAGAAAGTGCTATTCCGCGTGACATTTAGTTTTTGAAAAATATTTGAAAAATATATCTGCTATAAACTGGGCAAAATGTGCCCCATGGGTGAATAAAAAATTCATTATTTTCCTAATAAGAACTGAATGCCGAGTATTTATTTTCGTGCCCGAATAAATACTGGTATTAAAAAGTATTTTTCCAAGCTTTATCGAGGGCCTTCGCATATGATCGATATTTAATTGAGAAGTATAGAAGAATAAAGAGAATGTGAGTTATAGTAAAAAAAAAAGATAAATTATTTTTAAAAAACACACTGATCCTTTATACTTATATATATATCCTTGAATGAATGTCCGAATGAAAAGAAATGATAATATTTAATTTTCTTCAAGTATATATAGGTACCTATACTCTCATCTCGAAGAGAGCGCATAATTTTATACACTTCGACGACGAAACATTCCCGAGGTACTCGTACATTATTCGACAACGAATAAAATAAGCGCATATACAGTATAATATCAAAAAAGTATAAATGCATATATACTCGATATGAGAATAAATATGGCGCACGAGCATCTCAAGACGCAAAACTTTTGTTCACATTTTTCTTACTTTTTTTTTCTTCTTTTTTTTTATATAAATATATCGGTTTTTCCATATTTTCTTTGCAAATTTTTTTGTTGCAACTAAATTTTCTTATTTTGTCTTTTGGCAATTTAAGAAAATAATTCTTCCCACTAAAAATACTCTTTTATTTATAGTTAAATTATATGTCAAATAATTATCCGTCTTTCTGTCCGCCTGTCCGTCCATCTGTCTGACTCTCCTGTATGTCCTACTGTCTGTCTGTCCGTCTGTCCATCTGCCTGACTGTCCTGTATATTCTACCGTCTGTCTGTCCGTCCATCTGTCTGACTATCCTACTATCTGTCCGTCCGTCCGTTTGTCTGATGATTAATGTATTATTATTTTCTTTTATGAATTTAACTTTTTTTTATAGTTTTTTTATTTTCGATTTTGTTCGATTCGTATAAAAAAATTGTTTTCTTAACATTATAAACTGGTAAAAAAAATATTTGGCATTTTATGGAAAAAGTGATAGTTTAAAAGAAGAATGAGAGAGAATTAAAAAAAAAAGAAAAGATTTGCAAATGAGTAGTTCATATATGCAGTTGAAAAAATGGAATAAAAGAACATTTTTTAATTTCAGATGCAATAATAAATCATAAGCTAATTTTTCAAATTAGAAATACATGATAAAATGTTAAAAACTAAATAAGAAGACACAATAAAATATATAAATGAAATAAACTCAAGGAATCAGTAGAAAAACTCTCCAATAGTCAGCCTTTAATAATTCTCTATGTATAGAAAAAAAAATCTCCAATAAAATTCTCTTTATCTAAACTAGGGTAAAAATGAATATTAAAAAAAGATTCTTATTAAAAATAATAAAAATAGGGTAAAAAATAGTTTTATAGAAAAAAAAATATATTTGTCGGTAAATATTTTCTTTTTATTAAAAAAAAAATCTAAAAGTCTTGCATTGTATAGCCATTTTCTTACACCTCTTCGCACATAAAATAACATGTACCTATATATACATATATGCACCTGGAGCTTTTGAACTTTGCCAACTCACAACGCTTCAGGTGTAAATTTACCATGTTAATACGCGGTTTTACAGTTTGCGTCATAATCGTCTTATATTTTCTCATATAGGAAAAGCGCAATTCCACAAGTAATACACATTTATGAATAATAAAGCAAAAAAAACCAACTTGCTCGGACAAATAATAAACTTCTATGCAAATTATTTTTTAATCTTCTTTTTTTAAATAATGTAATTTTTATATTCGATTTTAGTATAAATTGACCTAAGGTTAACCTAACCTATTCTATACGTAAAACTTAGGTCAACATAACCTCTCATTGTCATAAGTTCAACATAACCTAAATCTAAACTTAATTTTAACCTAACCTAAAATAAACTTTAACCTGAGATAAACCTAAGATAATAAAACTAAATTAGTTGAAACTTAATAAACCTAAAAACAAGCTAACAAAAATAAAATAAAAAATATATTTTTAAAGAGAATATATTTTTATTTTTGATTTATAAAGCAAAGTCTGTTGTTACATTTCTCGCTCTCTTTTTTTATGTATGAATATAATCCACTTCTTGATCCAAAAACAAGGCAAAATTACTTGTCCGTTAATCTGTGACTCTATTAAACTAGATTTAATATTTTTGTTATCTTTATTCGTGGATTATCTTCAAGAGGATCTGCTCAACTGTTTTTGTGTTACATGTACCTCTTGATGGAAAATTTGAACTCTTCAAAATTGAATGTTTGGCTTTAGAGAAAAAAAAATATAACACCTGAACTTTAAGGGGAAAATTTGAAAAAAAAATTTACATTTAATGTTAAAATTAAAAAAAATTAAGTATTTAATAATTTTATTTATTTAAATACATATATGAAGTGGAATTTTTTTTTATAAATACCACCTTAAATACAATCTTGTTATTCTTCATTTCACTGACAATGGAACTTTCCTAATTTTGAAATACAGTTTCTGACGAATTTTAAAACAAAAACAAAAAATATTCATAGCTCCACTGAGATCTAATAATGTACTTTTTAACTCCGGTAAATTGTAATTTATAAAGTAGGTTATATAATTTTTATACATATATAAGAAAATTAGAAACAATACCAATTAGCAAATATATATTTCAGAGAAAAAAAAATTAATATTTATTTCGGAACTTAATAAATATTTCTTTGTTTAAATTTTCGAATTAATTTTTATTTGATAAAAAGAAATTATTTTCCCCAAAATAATTCATTTGATAAAATAAATATTTTACATATACTTATATATAAATGTAAATTATTCCTAAAATAGACAAAAGAAAAAGTAAATTATTTTTAATAATTATTTGAAAAATACTAAAAAATATAAAAGAAAAATAATTTTCATGAAAATACAAAATTACAGGAAAAATTTGATCACGAAAATCATTCAATTCTGTGCAAAAACATTTTTTGAGTGTCTGTTCTCTTATACATATATGTTGTGTATACAATGTTAATTATATTAACGCTAAAAACAATTAAAGAAAATGTATACGCGTGCAAAAGGGAAATTTGTTAAGAAAATAATTATAGTGATAACAATTCTTGATAGAAATTGCAGAAGATTAAAAGCTTCTCAAGGGGATTTTATATACTGCACTTCACTATACATATATATATTTCAGAAAAAGTATCGTTATACTATACACAACATATACGTAAATCGATATTTCATTCATCTCATCTTCAGCTCGCCTACATACACATTTCCATCTTATTCTCTTAAACATTTTCCCCCGAGAAAGCAACTATTTGTAAATTTTAATCTTCCTATATTCTATAATAGAAAATTCGTAGTGGAACTGAAAAAATTTTTAATTGCATACGTAAAATCCAATTTTATTTAATTTTAAATATATTATTTTTAATATTAATATAAATTTCAAATTAGTTTTAGATAAATATTAATTAAATATATAATATTATATGTATACTAAATTCTACAGTATAATTAACACAAAGCAAAAATATGTAAAACAATGAAATTAAATAAAATATTTCTAATTTAATAAAGAAAGTTTTAATATTGTGTTGCTATAATAATTATGAGAAATTTTATGGAATAATTGTGCGTACACATATCGCAAGAATTAATTAATTTCTCCATATAATTATTATTATCATATACTGACAGAATACAGCATTATTAGTAAACTGAAAATTGACTAAGGTAGCTGTATACCACCCATCTTAATGTAAAGCACTAATCAAGAGAAACTGAGTCAATAGAGCATAACATATTGTTTACTATAGGATATCAAATGCTCAAACATGGCCATTTTCAATTACAATAACGAAATTGAGAGCACATTATTTGATGTAATTCAACATTTTTATAATCCTATTTTGAATATTCCGAATTCAATAAGAATTTATTTTTAATAACTACCATACTGATACAGACTCTTTAAAAACTCACTAAAAACTCCAACTAGACGAAAACTAGACTAAAACTAGACTTGTTTAGACTGAAGAATATGAAGTGTTATTTTTTTAAATAAATGTAAAGTGTATTACTTTTCTTCATTGCGAATCAAAGCCTTGTAAACTCGTAGACGTCAAGATGAAGATGAGGGGAATTTAGCGACTTACTCTTGTTTTTAATTATCTTCAACCCCCGGTTTCATGCGGCTCAAATCCAATAACGATGGTTGACGGCTTAGCTGCGATGTTCCTTTAAGCGTTTAATTTAAGCATTCACAAAGATAACGATAATACATATATATCCACCCCGCGCGCAATTTACGCATATTAATTCTCCTATGTTCAAATCTGCCTCAGGAATAATGTTACAAAATTATTTCTCGCATTCCTCACGCAAAAGTGAGTATAGCTGACACGATAAAGTTACTTCATCACTGTTTTTAATTTTAATATTTGTTTTTTTTTCAAAATGTCATATACATACTGTGGATCATAAACGTCAAAGCTAACTGTAATTTAACATAAATATTAATTAAAAATAAACTTAGTTCTACTGTTTTACATAATTTTTGGAACGTACCGTTCGAAATTAGCCTTTTGTACCCATTTGGTATACTAAAAGTAATGGTTATCTAAGTATCCTTAAAAATCTGAAGGTACTAAATTTTGGTTTTTCCATTTTACATTACTAATTCTTCTGCTCCTCATTGTACATTTTTTCTAATTACTGCAATTTCCTTATAGTCCATCAGTACCTAATAAAGGTTCTCTTTTAGGCTTTGTTACAAAAATCCGTTAAAATTGCTAAAAAAAAGATTTTTGATGTTAAATCACCCCAATTGCAGATTCTATTTTTTTGCGCTTTTCTTCTTTTGTCAATATTTTTAAACTTAAATCCGTGTTTGAAATTGATCTAGATTTTCTTGATTTCGCATCGATATTTACAGAAAAAATTATTTCTCTATTACTAATTGATTCCTTAAACTAAATTATTCAATACAAATAAATTTTTGTTATTTCTGAAGAACTACTGAGTGGAAATTATTAGATCGAAAAGTAGCTTTTATGCCTATTAATCATGAGTAAATCATAATTGATACTTAATGAGTACCAAGTGGGAAATAAGAAGAAGAAGAAGGAAGAAAATATTCAGTATTAAGAAAATGGAAGTCGAAAGTTAGATGTCTAAATTATCCGATAATATTATTATACGCATGATATGAATTTGAAGAGGAGCCTCTTGACCCTTTTGAGAAATTTCAACCCAACAGCATATAGATATTCGTTCAACTGATAAGGCAAATGTATATATATATACATCAAGTGAGTGAAACGTTAACGATGCGCGAAACACCCACGACACAATAACGAGAGTCAGTAAATCGACAACTGTTGCATTTACATGGCAACTCGTTTATTCCTCTCAGGATTTTATTTTTTATTTATTCATTTTTTTTCGTTCTCTATTTTATTGTTTCGAGTATGTATTTTCCCGTGGCAAATGGTCCGTATTTAAACATAATGCGTATATACATGTATATATGTATTAAATACAGTGAATAAAATCCAGGGGAATAACGACTTTTTATGTACTGTTAATGAATACATTTAACGAGAAAATTAATGCCTTTGAAAGTCATTCCGGATCTTCTTGCAAATATATATATATGTAGCATTGTTACCATTATTGTGATTTAAATAAATACAGTTACGAATTTTACATGGTTCGATGCATTTTTGATATATTAATCAATTATTTAAAAAAAAACCTGCTGTATTTGAAGGAGAATTATAAAATTTGTAGAATTTAGACAAAGGACGATTAAATTTTTTTTAAAAATATTTTGTAATGAAAATCAAATTTCAAATTTTTCTTTTTTCCTTGGCAATTTATATGTTCATTTTCAAAGCTCAGAGGAAATAGGAACTTGCAGGAATTACATTTTACAGATGAATATGCTTTCCCGACTTTAATAACGTTTGCGCTTCTTTAATATCGTATGAAAATTCAAACCCATTTACGCGAGTAAATTTATCCTGTTTAGTAGGTGTTAATCAATCTGACTTTACTCTTTGAGATTGAGTGGGGGGAATTCCATCCACCTTCACACTTATTTTATTTTCCTAGTTTTTCTATAACAAAAAAATAAAAACCGTTTGAAATTTTCTGTTTTAATATTAATTTTTTTTAATGTTATAAAAAAAAAATTAATTATATTTCCAAAAATCTTTTAATATTAGGAAACTATTTTTTTTATCTAGTATATTATTTATATTTATTTAATTATATAATATATTATATATTATGATATATTTATATTATTATTTATTCTAAAATTGATTTCGAAAAATATTTATTTAAAGAAAAAATTATTATCCAATCCGGAAATTGTAAAATCTAAAAATTGAGTATAAAAAATAAATAATAAAATTTGCATCACAAGAGTCGATACACTAATTAATAGATTCTCAAAGCTAGAGATAATAAATTATTTTCAATTTTTGACAGGAAAAGCTTATATGTAAATAATGATCGCGAACTTTGAGGCTGTATTATGATTTTTTTTCTTATTCTTTCATTTTTTTTTTCTTTTATTCCTGTTGTGAAAAGAAATGAACAACCTGTGTGGTATGCAAAATCTGAATTTCAGAGTGAAGAATGCTGTTGTGTCATTTTCTTTATTGTCGACCACGTTTTCTGTCATGAATTTCAATTATTATTATTTTTTTTAGAAAAGTCCACGCTTTTCTCTCGCGCATAAAAAAAGGTGAAATATATATATACCTATATTCGTAGAACATTTTTTTTTTAATTCACTCAAATTTACTAAAAAATTTTTTTTGCTTTTTTTGTAATTTCGTATGACGTGGTCAGCATAATATGTATATCTATATTTTTTTTAGTTTGAAATAATTTTTCGTATTACGTAGGTAAATAATATATATTTATATATAATGTTTGGACGTCTTAACACAGCGTAGTTACATAAAAAATATTTCTATTAAAAGTATAATGTTGATTTAGTAAATTAATTATTTGTTTGATTCACCTATATATATAATTAAAATCTTTTTTGAAAAAATTTTTCTTTGCGAATTGAAAATTGTGACGTTTTGAAATTATTTTATTCAAATTTTATTTTGCAAATAGTAAGAGAATAGTTATGATTTATTATATTTTAATTTATTATTTATTATAGTTATATTATTAGTATTATTTATTATTTAATTCTTATAATCTAAATATTATTATAATATAATTCCTAATCAATTTCCCATAAAATACAATTTTGGATAAATTTCTTAATCATATAAAATATAAGAATTTTTTTTAAATAGTCATTTACCGTGATGCGAATAAATATTTTTTTAAAAAAAGGTAATAGTTCGTGATTTTACCGACTGTAACTGACGATAACTGAAAAATAAAATGTTGTCAATTTACCTGGAGAGTTTGTTTTGATGGTAAACATAATTTTTATGTTGTTTAATAAATTTCATAGATGGCCATATATGTCGTAAGTTTATATATTTTTCAACACTATTTTCCTGTTCCTGTTGCAGTTTTAGATCATTTTAAACCAAATAAAACATATTCAAACAAGTTACAGTCAATTCGAAACCAGTTTAAACGCATTTTATTTAAAACTAATTTTGAATGATTTCTTATTAATTAAAACATATTCAAACTAGTCGTGAACAATTTATAATCAGTTTATAATCATTTCAAACAAGTTTTGAATGATAATTTTTTGGATGAATTAAATATGTCAAATAAGTTGTGGATAATTTAAAATAAATTTAAAACCATTACAATAACTAGTTTTAGATAATTTCTTATTAATTGAAACAAATACAAACAAGTTATGAACAAATTGTTAATAATAATATATATATAGCAACTTGTAGACAATAATAAATTGTTCTTTATTTTTTTATATACTAATATTAATATTAATAGTAAAAAAGAAAATTATTGTGAAAATAATATTATTTTGAATTTATCACTCGGCGGTAGTTCATAATTAAGATAATGATATCCTGACATGGGAGAGTAATCGATATCATCATCTAAATTGTTGTGAAAATAATTACAATAATTTTTTCAAAAAATATAAATCATTGCATTCAAGTTATAATTAATTTTATTGATATAGGTATATATTTTGTTTAATTTCAAATAATATCACCTAATAACTTATATAGGACTAAATATTAAGAAAGTGACTAATATCGTAAATAAAAATGATACATATGTTTATATCTATAACGTGTAAAATATATTTTTTTTAATTAAATATATTTTATGTATATTATTAAATTAATGTGTATATTATATTACAAATAAATATACATTATATCTTTAAAAATTAATAAAATTATTTTCGCCATCATTGATGATCCTAAATTTCTCCTGATATATAATATATAATATAAATATTATATTTAAATACATTATATTGTAACTTTTATGTAGAATTTGATTGTAATATGGAAGCGGGATTAAATTTTATTTTGACATTTATATATAACTTTATACATTTTCGTGACTGCGAAAAAATAAGGATACATTTATTATTATTATTATTAGGAATCAAAAATAATTAATTACAAATGTTTATTAATAATTTATAGTGACTAGATGATTAAAAATAATTTGTACAATTTTTTTTGCAACTAAAATTTTGAATTTAAATAAATAAATAATAAATAAATAAATAAATAAATAAAATTATGAATTTATAAAAATCAATTAAATTTTATCGATTTATCACAAAATTATATGTGATTATTAATAAAATAAATAATTGTAAATAAATAAATTAATAATAAATGCATTGAATACTTTTTTTATGAAAAGAAATCTATTCTTCTATTTCTTAAATAACTAAAATTCTTTTAATTCTTTAAAAATAAAAAATTGAAGTCTCAGTTTTTAGGATAAAAACGATATAGTAACTTTAACATTTTTTTTAGAGTTCCTTCACGTCGTGATATCGACGAGACAATCAAAAAACTTAATTCATTTATATGGAGACCCAGCATCAGCGAGTGGACGATGACGTCCTATTAACTGTAAAAAAATTTATTAAAATAATATTATGAAATATTAAATAATATTTTAAATAATAATTTGTAATTTCATATTTATAAATTTATTATTAAAATTCAGCAATCTAAGACACTAAATTTATTGATATAAAAAAATTTATTCTTACTATATTATTGTTTTGCAATAAAAATAATAATTCATACCCATTGTCGAATAATAATGGATAATGGATCGTCGCCCAATTGATTTTTATCAATTTCCGAAATGCGTCGTTCGGCACGCTCTTGATTTTTTTGCAACGATTCAATTGCAATATTTCCCTCATTTGTGTGGACATATTCTGGTATTTCACGATTAATAATATTTCTCTCATTTGACAATACTTCATGTTGACTTAAATCCGATCTTTTGCCATGACCACCAAAACATGAATGACCAAATGCATTGCAACCACCTAGTTTCAAAAAAAATGATTTTTTTTTAATTGAAATGAAAGTATAACAAATTTCAAATTAGTTTTTTGGTAAAAAATAACAAATATAAAATTTGAAGAAAAAAAAATGTATATTAATATTATAAATCTATAAATTATAATAATTTTCAAATTATTAATTTCATTTCTGATTTTCAACCCATTTCAAACAAGTTTGAAATGATTCAAAATTAGCTTCAAACCAATTCCAAACTTGTTTGAAATTATTCAAAACTAGTTTCAAACCAATTCAAATTTGTTTTGAGATAATAAATTTTTGAATGCAGTTTAAAAAATTTCAAATTAGTTGTTTGTAACCATTTCAAACTAGTTTAAAAAGTAAATTTTTTTTTGTCTTTTGTTTTTTTTAAACTATTTAATTGATAATTATTTCTCGAATTTATCATTATATTTTTTATTAAACTCTTTTTATCATATACCTATATATAATTAAAACTTCCTTCCTATAAATAGCATTAGGTAATGAAAATTTGAGTATATTATAGAATCATAATAATAAAGAGTGTGGTTTTTTGTTGATGAAACTTAAATTTGCGCATATAAACTTATATTATTATTTGTTTTGAATTGTAATTTCTTTTCTTATTATAAAACGACAAATGTATATTATATTTATAACTCTTGGCAAAATGGAAGTTTCAAATGCCGCGGTAGCTTTCTCATTCGTTAACTTTCATTAAGTTTGGTAAACTAATTTAAGAGTATTGGTATTCAATATAGCTCGTGGAGGAAAATAATTATTGATATTCTATATATTTCTCTCTCTCTCTCTCTCTCTTTCTTGAATAATCGTAAATTGAAATCATAAATTCTCAAGGCATTGCCTTAAAAGAAATAAAATACTTCTTGTTTAGATGCTTCATGATTCAATAAATTTTTTGCACTTGAAATACAAAACTATTTTTTAAGAAAATTAATTTTTTTAACTTTTTGTTTCTTTGATTGTTTAATTAATTTATTCGATGAAATTTTTTTATATTTTTATTATTTTTTTATTAGGATTTAATATTTATTTTTTTCATTACATACTTGTTTCATTATTTATTTAAAGAAAAAAAAATGTCAAAATTACCATATTGAAAATTAAATACATTTTAGGCAAAAGTTTCCAAATAATAATGAAAAAACTTATCATATTATGACATATATAAGGAGGAGAAAAAATACATATATATTCTTGATTGTCATTAAAAGGGTTATTAAATTAGACAAAGTTAATTTAATCGATCGTTGACATGTCACATAATTTTCAAGTAGTTTAACGGACAAATTATTTTGTGGGTCAAGTAAACAATATTTACATGAAATGTCCAGTATATAGTGAAACATTTCTAAGAGGAGGGGAGGGGGAGGAGTAAACTTTACTGAAGTCTCAAGGGAGATTTCAAATTGACATGAAAAAAAATATAATATAATAAAAAATTTTCTTGTTAATAATAAAAGGACAAAAAATATTTTTTGTTAATGCAAAAATTAAGAAAAAAATTTTCAAACAAAACCAATACTACATTCATTATATTATTATTTATTTATTAACAATTATATTATTCAATAATTCTATTACTAAATTTTTTTATTTCTTTTAGTATAATTTTTTTAGTAAACAGTTTTTTATAAAAAAAAAACAAATTTTACCTTCTAACTTTTTTTTCTATAAAAATTTCAAGATTTACTATATAGTGTAACAAAGAGAAATATAAGGAAAACGTTCCAATTTCGATGTAATCAATCCGAATAAAATAATATTAATGTGTAATTATTATTATTATTATTATGGAATCTGAACCGAAATATAATCATGGGGGGTCAAGATTTTCTTACTTATACACTAATGACTTGAGCGCATTAAAAAAATCAATTCTCTATTATTGTATCTAATATAATTCGCTACAGACGATGATAATAATATAAGAATTGACAGGACAATTGACAAATTTCTCAAATATATTATTGAGTCTAAAATAATTTTATATCAAGCCTAAAATTGAATTTTCAAGATAAAATTTTAGCAAAATATTGCCTTAGGGTCAATTATATTAATTTTCATTAGAAAATGTTTCATGATTCATTGACGTTTCATATATATATATAAACAAATTTGCGCGAAATGTTGGAAATTTTAGACAATTGATATTTTAGACATTATGACAGGTTTTCGGAAACTGTCTATAATTAATTGATACAAATTATATATATTTTTTAATTTTTAGTTAATTAATAATTAATAATTCTCAATATGATAAATATTTAATAAATTTTATTTTTTTAATAATTTATAATAATAATAACTTTAGAAGTTTACCTTAGAAAATTAAAATTTTTAAAAATATTTTAATCTAATTTTGTAATCTTTTTCTTCACACAACTTTTTTTTATATGTTATAATTTATAAGTTTTGGCAATCCTCATAAATTTCTTGTCGATATTTTTTTTTTTGGCCTAAAGATATAACCAGCAACAAAAATTCGACCTTAATTTACAAGAAAAAAAAATCTTCTTCTAAAATCTAAAGTTTCACATGTTGATGTGGAAACGAAACTTTTTTCCTTACGAAACTTTCAGTTAAATTTAATTTTCGAAAATTTGCGACATATAGAGGGATGTACTTACGGAGTTTTAAAAATTTCGTAATTCACAAGTTGTACATCACAAATTCAAGTGGGAAGAAAAAAGAAATACGAAAGTAAATAATAAAAAGTGAGGCAAAAAATTTAATTTTCACAGAATATATTTTTTGTAATGTAGATATTTTTTTTTAATTTTTGCAAATAATTAAAATTTAAAAAAAATGAAATCGATAAAATATTCATTATATGGAAATCTGTGTGTATGTGGTTCAATTAAATATGATGGAATAGTGTATAGTATAAAAGCTGTTAAAAAGGAGAATTCATTGCGCAATAATGCACATCCCATTAACCGTTAATGCTTTTGACGATTACCCTAATAATGAAACAAGCATATTATTATTACTAAATAATGATTATAACAAACTTGTATTTTACTCAGGCCATATGCGTATTATGCACCCAATTAAAATGATTTGTGCCTTTTCATTCTAATTGCAATCAGTCACATAATGTGAATTTTACTCATATATATTTCTTATACTATACAAATCATTTAAACAAGGACAATTAATTAATAATTTATTTCATTTTTTATTTTCAATTTTAATATTATATTTTTTAAATCTTTTAATGATAATAATTATATTATATACTGCAGAATAATAAAAAAAAATTCAAATCTTTTCACTGAATTATTTTTTTGTTGATTCTCTTTTTTCACTTACTGTTTTTATCCTATTTTTATTGTAGGGATTTATTATTTAAATTTAAAAATTAATTATTAATATTTATCGAAACGTATTGAATCTTTCATCCATAAAAATTGTATTGTTTTTGATGGGATGTGCTATAAAAACGTGTAGAATGGGCAATAAAGAAAATGACAATTGGTTGATACGCGAAATGTTGTTTAGGTTTTTTTTTTTTTTTTTTTTTTTGTTTATCCCTCATGAAAAATAAATTCATGGTCTTTGAATTTTATGGCATACAACATCTTATAAACTGGAGATTTAGATGCAGGGCAGACGAAAAACGTGAATTTCTTTGAATAAGACTTTCTTACAGTTAAAATGGTCCATTTTTGTGACTCTATTGAGTCCCTTATTTTCAAAGGTTCATGTCTATACATTTAATATTTAGAAGTAGTTAGAAATTTTTTTTCCGTAATTCTTGACATTTTTTTTTTGGTAAAAAATAAATATAAAATTTGAAAAAATAATTTATTATTAATATAATTATATTATTATTATTAAATATATAAACAAATTGTAACAAATTTTAAATATTTAAATACTAGTTTTGAATAACATGATTGTAAGTTATCGAAACTTGTTTACAATGCTTCGAAACAGGTTTCAAACCGATTCAAATAAGTTTTAAAATTATTATTACTTGTTTGAAATGATACATATCAAACTAATTTAAACAATTTGGAACTTGTTTCAAGTGATTGGAAGATAGTTTTAAAAAAACGAATTCAAACAAGTTTGAAACTATTTGGAACTGGTTGAAAATTATTGAAACCTGTTTGGAAAATTATTTCAATTAATGCAGACAAGTTTATCAAGTTTTTGATAAAAAAAAATTTTTTTTTGATGAAAAAAAAAATGTTTAAATGTCAATGGGTGAAATATAATTAATGTTTTTGATGGAACAACAATAATGAGGCGTAAGAAATGTCAGATTCTCGATTGCAAGATATTTATGGGATGAGTTGTGATTTCTAAAGGTTTACCATATAATAGCATGTTTGTTTGACGTTATCGGTAACTAATAATCAATGCTCGTTTTCTTAAAATGGAATTACGAAATATTGACAGCTACGACAAATTGGGGGGTAAATTAATGCAGATCGCGGCAAGACAAGCAAAACTTTACAATGTACAACACTTCAATGTCAATGAAGACCAAAACTTTATACGTTATATATTAATAAGAATTAATTATTATTTATTATTTATTTATTATAAGCATAGTAATGATTTAAAAGAAAAAAATGATGGCAAATTGAAATTAATTTTTTTAATTTAAATTTTTTTTTAAATAATATTTAAAAGAAAACTAGAGGTGTGAGGAGTGAATGTGAGGAAAGTAATTATCACATTAGAGGTGTCTGGGATGGGGAGAGGGGAATAGGAGGAAAAAGTATTTAAAAAAGAAAATTGCAAATCGAGTTAATTTTTAATAAAATAGGAAACACTGCGGACGAAGCACTTGATCGTGTAAAATTTTCTTTTCAATGCGCAACCGTTGAACTAACAAAATTATTCAATCTACACGAAGGCTGCCGAGTACTCGGGAAATAACAAGCTGAACTAATTGTTAGAAGAATATTTGACCTTTTACCATAAAACCGCAACCATATATTCGCACTGATTTTATCCTTTTATTATTACATTAGTTTTCCTGATCTCAATTTTCAACTTCATATCACTATACTTATTACCAATTATTATTATTATTAATTTTATATAAAAAAAACTTAGAATTACAAACATAAGTTTATGTTCCAATAAATTTATTGTATAGATAAAAAAAAATGTTTTAATCGTATCTAATTTTGAAGAGGTGAATCACGTTATCGCAAAAGTTACCAAAAAATATATACATGTAGGAGTGCTTTTCATTCCCCAAAGGAAATGCTTAAAAGAGTTATCAAACTTTTTCACAGCTCATTACAATATTTCTACAAAGTTATATTTTTATTCCCAAAGAAATCCAAACAAAAAACAAAAGAAATTTCTTTTTATATAATATTTCACGTATTTTATTTTTGTTCTATCTGAAATTAAAATTTTACAATTTTGCAAATTTTCGAATTATTTTCTAATAATTTGTTTTTTAATTGTTATTATTTTTTTCTTTTGTTTAAATATTAAAATTTTTGTTTTGTAGTTTTCTTTTACCTATTTTGTAAAAGAAAATTTTCTTTTGTATAAAATTCTCAGTATCTTTAAATAAATAAAAAAAAAAAACTGTCAAAAAGCGGAAAAAGAATACTGTACTAAAAAAAAACTTTTATAGTGTTTCACAACTTTATCTCATATAATTAATCCTATAGAAAAGAATCCAATTTCCTATAAAAGCACTGAAAGAATCATTCACCAAGAAATCAATCCGTTAATTTAAAATTATCCCAATAAATGTGAGGAAAAAAAATGAATAAAAATAGATTTTTGACTCAATTATAAATACAAATTTTATAAGTGAACATTTTTTTAATATAAATTTATTCTATACGGTTTTAAAAAAATTGTATGGTAAATTTTAATTTCTTAATTGTAAAAATTAACAAAAAATAAAGTAATAAACGTTTTAGAAGAAAAAAAATTGTAGATTATTTTGAAAATTACTGTTCCATCTAAACGTAAACTTAATATTTAATTTTCATTAATATGAAAATTAATTATTTAACAATATTAATTTTAGACTAAATTTTAAAAAAATTTCCTTTTTTTATTAAATAAAAAATTAATTCATTTGAATGTTTGAAAACTTCTAATCTAAATTGCAGAAATTCACAGAGCAAACGAAAACTTGTGCGTAAAACGTATGGAAAATTTACTCTTAATGGAAATTTAATGGAATTATATTTGTACAGTTAGATTTCTCCTAATTTGACATTTTCAAACGAAAAATAGAGGAAAACTCAATTTTTACTTTAAATAATAATTTTTTTTTCTTATTTGCATCAAATTATTGACAAAAATATTGAAAAATAAAAAAAAATCGAATCAAAAGATAAAACTAAAAATTTACAAAAATAAAGAATGGAATTTTTCTTAAATTAAAATCAAAAATTCAAAAATATGTAAAAAAAAATTCTTTGCTTATTTTTTATTCTCAATTTTCAAATGGGGATTTTTTTTCTACATATGTCTGCATGTACGTATATTGAAAAAAAAATTATAAAATTAGAAATGAAGCGTTGGAGAAAAATACAACAAAGAATAAACAATAAGCTTCAAGATGAATGCTATATATGTACATACATTGTTATATATATATTCCACCTTCAGAATCGACTTTTATGGAAAAGTTCTTCATGAAACTATATTACATTCTCACATGCAACATGTGAAAAGTTGCAAGTTAACTATATATAAATTCACACTTGTCTCTCTTTTGTATACAATAAAATATACTTTTCAAAGCTATATAATCTCTCAACAATGTTTATAACAACTAGTTCCTTGCGAGAAGTTCATTTTATATTTCCTTGTTTCTTTTACTCTCAATTTTTTATTATTTTTTTTTTTTATTTAAAATAACAAATTGCACGCATTTTTAATAAATTCTCCCAGAAAAATATGCGGAAAATTAAAAAAAAAAAAACAATTACATAAAAACTGCGAGAGAAAGAGAAAATAACATTTTACTTCTGCAAAAAAAATTAATTATTTTTTATTCAAATGTTAAAGGAAAATTTTACAACCCCAAAAAATATCTTCAAAAATTTTTTATTTTATATTACCATAAAATAAAAAATTAATATTGTCCCTTGTATCAAAAAAGCAAAGAAAAATTTTTCTAAATAATAAAATTTCAATAATATTTCAAAAATTATTGTAATTTTAAATTTTTAACTGTTCGTTATCACGAATTATTATGGAAATGAAGAGAAAAATTTTTTTCATTTTTTTTTTTGCCCAGAAAAAGATAAAATTCTATGCAGTGAAAAAAATAAAAAAATTTTAAAAATATTTATTTTTTTAAAATTTTAACTGTAAATTTGCAAAACTTACGCTTCGCCGAAGTCTCCGAACTCAAAGAGATGATGAGAAATGCGGTAATCGAAATCACCGCGAAGCAATCGTAAGTTTGTGTCAAAAAAAATTTCATTCTCGTGATTTTTATTTTATTTTTTAAAGAAAACTAATTCTAATTTTTTTGTCAATTAGAAAATAATTTAAAGGAAAAATAATAATATTATTTCTATTGTAGCTATACACGTAAAGATTTAAATGAGACAGTTGTATCAGCTGATGTTTCCAGATCGAGCAGGTGGTCGTGAATGAACGCAATGCTCCCGGATGCGCGAGGGTTTCTTCTGACAAAAATCCTGACGAGGTGGCGCAGGCGGATGAATCACAGATATACATAATAATAATAATAATAATAATAATAGATCAAAGGTAAGTTGAAAAAATCAAAGGTGGTGAAAAAATGATAAAAATTAACATTTTTTTTGTAATTCCAAAAAAAAAATGCAAAAACAAGACAAATGTGGTTGGAAGGTTCGAAGACTTATAAAAAGACTTCGAAAATAGAGGCAAACAACTTCAAACAAGTTTGAAATTAGTCAAAACTTGTTTGAAACGATCCTCAATTGATTGGGAAAAATCAATTCAAGTTTAAAACCATTAAACATTTTTTTTCAAACAAGTTCAGATAAGTTTGAAAGATTTCAATATTTCAAACAAGTTTAAATAAATGTTGAACTTGTTTTGAAACGATTTCAAATTGGTTTCAAACTAATTCAAAATAGTTTGAAATAAGTCGAGACAAGTTTGAAAGTTTTTAAAATGGATTCGTAACAAACAAATTTGTTTGAAATGATTCAAAAATAGTTTCAAACCAATCCAAACTTGTTTGAAATGATTTAAAATTAGTTACAAACCTATTTAAACTTGTTTAAAATGATTTAAAACAAGTTCCAAACCAATTCAAACTTGTTTTGAAATAATTCAAAATTGGTATGAAACAAGTTTAGACAAGTTTAAAAATTTTTGAAACTGGTTGTTAAAAAATTAAAAATATATAGTTAAAAAATTTACGAATCGCTTCGATAATAATTCTTAATAAGTTTGGAAACTTATCGAAACTGTTTTTAAACTTAATTTTTGTTATTATTTTAAATAAAATGAGCCATTTATTTTAGAAAAACATCATAAAAAATTTTTTTTCATTTAAAATTTAAATAAATTAAAATTTTGTAATTAACGCTAACAGGATGTATGGATAAATAGAAAAAAAATAGATTAATTTTTACTTTTTTTTGTCTTAATAATTTAAATGAAAGTATAGTAAATCTAATAAGTTATACGTTAAACATTTTCTATTCAGTTAATATAAAAGAAAAGACTTATAGCCCGCGATGTCATTATCTATATCGTGAAAATTTTAATATAAGCATTATCTTCACTGTGCGACATACATTAACGTATTTCAGCTTATTATAAACTATTGTCTACATTATTATTTTTAATTTTTTAATTAATTTTCTACAATATTTTTTATCTCATTCGCCTTTATTATATATGCTTTTCTTTTACTATATATTCATAGAATAATAACCAAGTTAGAAATCAATTCAAACTAGTTTAAAATAATAATCACAAACAATTTCGAAATGGATTGAAGAACTTTTTAACAAATTTTGAAAGGTTACAACAATTATTTTTATTATTATTTAAAGTTTCTAATTGTTTCAAACAATTTCAAATAAGTATCAAATATGTTTGAAACGATTCAAAATTGGTTTCAAACTTATTTAAATAAAACAAACTCAAAACTGTTTTCAGACAATCATTTTTCTAAATTTTTATTTTGTTTTGCAAAACAAAATTTTTTATTTTCATAAAATTTTAATTTTAAAAATTTTAAAACAGTAAAAATGTTAATATTAGTTTTCATAGATTTTTGTCTGTCACACAACATACATGTATAGCACTAAAAAAATTTATTGTCTTGAATATTTTTTTCATTTTTCAATATCATTATGACTTTTGCTATGAAATAAAAAATTATCTTACTACATATTTTTTTCAAATCGTTAAAGAAAAAAATATAAAAACAATTTCTAGATATAAGAATATAAAATTGTTTTGAAAAAAAAATTCATTAATATTCTCGCTTGTAAAACGTTCACTTGTTTGTTTTCTGCATTGTCAAATAATTATTAAAATTTTTTTGTGAAAATGAAGATTATTACTGCGCTTGTTTTGCAATTAATTTATTTTAAAAATTATGTTGAATCTATTCCAATCTATTCTGCTAAACATACGGTAAAGTTTTTTTTTATTATTTTTTATTTTTGATTTAATTAACAATAATAATAATTTTTTTGAACAGAATTAGTGTTTTTTTAGTACAGATAATTATTATTAAAAAAAAGGTTCAACAAAAAATGTAAATATTTAATAATTATTAAATTATAAGAAAAAAAAATAATTTTATTGTACCTTTATCATAGATGAAATTTATAAAAGAAGCAGGATATTACGCCGAAGAACATTCTGTTACTACCGAGGATGGTTATAAATTAAAAATGTTTCGAATTCCTGGTCTTGAAGGATCGAAACCAGTATTTTTGCAACATGGCTTGTTTGCATCCTCTAATACTTGGGTTATCTCTGGAAAGGAATCTTTAGGTAAAAGATTATTGTTTTGTTATTACATATAAATTATTTTAATCCTATTAAAAAAAATCGTAAAAGTAATTAAAATATACTATTCTAGTCAAATAGTAAGAAAAAAAAATTTTTATTTTGAAAAATGAAGCATTAGAGTGAAGAAAAGTTCGCGCACCAATCAGAGCAATTGTTGCAATGTCCACATTGCAGATGGTTGCGCGCACACACAAAAACCCCCCCACTCGCTTGGGAAAGAGACTCGCGACGAGTATAAATACTGCAACTCAGAAGCATCCTGCGTGATTTCGCTCCTATCCTTTCAATAAGCACAATTTTTTCAAATTAAATTTAATATCCAACATTATTGTTAATAAATTCTATAATATTGAACCAATCACATTTTTTTAAATAACAATAAAAATTTTATACTAATATATAAAAAAATATAGAATTAAAGAATAAACTTTTTGTCTTTCTATATTATTTCTATTAGTTAATTATTCAATTAAATTTTTTTGTTCACGTCTTCAGCATTTGCTTTGTCAGATAAAGGATATGATGTTTGGATGGGCAATTTTCGAGGAAACATTTATTCTAAATCTCATATTAATTTAGATCAAAAAGATGAGGAATATTGGGATTACAGGTACATAATGGAAAACAATATTACATTTTTTTACTTTTTATAATATAAAAATTATATAGTAAAATTCAATGTTTTTCAGTTTTCATGAAATGGGAATTTACGATTTGCCAGCAATGATAAATTATATAACAGAGTCTACTCAACAAAAATTAATTTATTTTGGATTTTCATTAGGATGCACAACATTTTTTGTGATGGCTTCTAAAATACCAGAAATGTCTTCAAAAATAAGTGTTGCAATTCTAATTGCACCAGTTGCATATTTAAGTAATATGTTAGGTTTTTTTGAAAAAAATGTTATATTACGTGGAGTTAAATATGCATTAAATCATCCACGGGTAAACATTTGAAAATTATATTTAAATTAAATTTTTATGAATAAGTTAAATTTTAATAAATATTTAATCAAAACTTTCTTAGATATCTAATGACATGTTTGAAAATAGTTTTCAATTAAGGCAGAAAAATAAAGAATTAATTCTTGACAGTAATTTTGCACTTAAACTGATGCAATGTGGTCAAACACACTTTAAGGAGGTAAACTCGTTTCTATTACTTTTTATCGAAAAAAAAAGTTTTGAATGATTTTCAAAAAAATAATAATGTTCTTATCTAAATTTAAAAATTAGATTTATCTGAAATCAATCAAATGCGAATTAAACGGTGGAAGTTCACTGAAAAATATAAATCACTTATTACAACAGATGACTCAAAACGAATTATCTTATTATGACTATGGTTCAGATGAAAATTTAAAAATTTATAATCAGGAGAACCCTAAAATTTATAATTTAACGAAAATAAAAATTCCTATTGTTCTTTTTCATTCAAAAGGTGATGAACTAACACAAAAAAAGGTAATTAACATTTTTTTCGAATCGAACTTATTAAATATGTAATATTTGTGTTAAATTAAAAAATATATTTAATATTCTATATTTTGTTTAGGATTTTGAAAAACTGACCTCTAAATTACTCAATATTAACGAAAATGTTGAAATTAATAGTAAAAAAATTTGTCATCTAGATTTAGTTTGGGGAAAGAATGTTACTAAAACTGTTAATGATCCATTGTTTAAAATTTTAAATAAAATTAACAAAAATTAGAGAAGATATATTAAATATTAATATAATTTTTAAATGATTATGACGATGTTATTTTTAATACAATTTTTCATGTATTTTGAAAAAAGGATTTAATCATCAATAAAAAAAAAGTAAATTAAAAAGTTGAAATTTTTTAGTGTTTTTATTTTATTTAAGAGCTATAAAAATTTCTGTATTTTAAGCGGGCAGTAGTGATTTCTTTCTTTCTAATTTAGATATATTTCAAAATATAATTTTGTTAATTCAGAAATCATTTGCTTTTTATCCGTAAGATTTCTAACAAATTTTAATATAAAATTTTCAATTATAAAAGAAAATCCACGAAAATGATTCTTTAAGAATATAAAGCAGAAACGAGTGAAGAAATCGTTTTTGCAGTGTCATCACGCTTACACAAGAATCATTTTCACGAAGACTGTTATATAGAAAAAAAAATAATACCTGTACTTTCATTTGAAATTTTTTTTTTCTAATCCCCCATATCAATTTGAGAGAAGAAAATTTCCCAATGGATATATGAAAATCGAGATTCACGTAGGCATTCTATTTGTGAAAATTGTCTTTAATTATTTATATATATATTTAAAAATTTCATACATCTTTTTGAATAATAATTCATTTTTTTTCTCTTTTTTATTTTGCAACATAATACAACGTTATTTCTATATTAATTATACGATAATTTAATTGCAATTTTTATCACTATTTAATTTTAGTTTAGAAATATATTATATGAAGATTTAGAAAGAATTTTTACAAATTTATATAATAATTTATGAGAGACTTTTTTAATTATAAAGTGAATTTTCATTTTTCATGCGTGTAAAAACAAAAGAAAAAATTCAATTAAAAAGTGTATTTTATATTATATAGAAAATTAATAAGATTATCTTTTGGAAAAATCAACAGCAATTTATAATTATACTTTGTTTCTCAATTGAATTGAATGCTGCAGTTTTTTTTTCCCATAATTATCAATATATTATATACAGCGTGGATTCACTTTTAAAAAATTTTACGCTTTTTTACTCGCAAATAAAATATTATTGAAAAATACAAACTACAATTTTAGAGGAATAGAAAATTTTTAATAAATCTTTTTTTTAATTTAAAAAAAAAATTAAAAAATTTTATTTACCATAAAAAACCGGAAGAAGTAATGTCAAAGTACCCGGATAACATTTTATGGTAAAAATTTTCCTTGAAGGTTAATATGTTTTTTAATCAAAATTATCATGTTATGACATTAAGTCAATATTAACATTATTCGCTTTTATATCAAATAAATTTATAGTGTTATAACAGGTGTTTTTTCCCATGAGAATATTTGAAACATTTTAATTTTAATAGTATATTTATTATAAACACGATTATTTATTTAACCAAAATATTAAAAAAAAATTCAAAAATAATACATTAAAATAATTTTTTAACTATCCGATTTTTTTATTGTTATCTCAAAAAATATTAATTATTTATTTTTCAAATAAATTTTTTGTTGCTATTATATGTATAACATATGGGGTAGTTAAATTTAAGTATGATAATTTAATTTTCAATAAAGTTTTATAATATCTATAATTAATTAATTTTCTTTTATTAAACCGTAAAAATGTTGTTGTTACTGTCTAAATTATATTTTAATTTAATTCTTAATTTTCATTTTTTATTATAAATAAAAATAATTAATTATTTTTTGTTATATCGTACAAAAAAATGATTACTATAGTAACAATATTTTTTTTATTAATTTTAATAAAATTTTTAATATTTAGGTATAAAAAATAAAATAAACTGACTTAAATAAAATTAATCCAGTTAAATAAAACATAAAATATTATAAAGCAATTTTTAATAAAATAGTGGAAATTAATTTATGAATTAATAAATAAAAATTTGTAATAAAATAAAAATTTAAATAATGTCACAGATAATTTTTTTCATTATAGAAACATGACATCAAAAAATAAAGAATTTTTTTAAAATTTTTATTATAACGCTTCTAATTTTGTCCATTTTCAGATAGAGAAAATAAGTCTTCTAACTATTTGAGAAAAGTATCAAAATACATATTGGCTGATAATGAAAAGCATCAATGGAAATCAATACATTTTTTTTCATCATACTTCGTGCGTCATTTTCAAAGAAAATCTGAATTATTATGTGAAAGACAATATTGCGTTTAAAAAAAAAACGTAATATAGATTCACTGTAAAAATACGTTAATATCTATTTTCTGCGGATGCAGAGTTCTCCTTTATATATAAACTATATTCTTCTCTTATATATAAAAAACAAAAATAAAAATTTTAACATATTCAAAAAATTAAAAAAAACAAAATTATTTAACTCGAAGATATAAATAATTGGAAATTAAATAAAAAATTCAATTTTTTTTTCAATAAAGAAAATTTTTATTAACAATAATAAATGAAATTTTAAAAATTGTTATAAAAGTATAAAAAGAAATTAATTTTCAATTCACCAATTGTTTTTCAAAATATAGTTTGTTTTACAATTTATAAAATGAATAATATGCGGAAAATAAAAAAAATTTATTATACCAAAACGATTAAATTAAAATTATTTTATTTTAATGCGTGAATGAATATTAAAAAAAAAAAAAAAAAAAAAATTAGAAGCATATAAAATGAGATGATTTAATTTTTCTGGTCCATTTAATAAGAGAAAACACTTTCGGTTTTATAAATTATTTTACGGTGTATGGAATATAATATATGTAGTATAAACGAATTCGGAAGTTAGCCTTTTGATTGCATTTGCCCCACCTGAGCAACCACGCGCATCGTACCGCACCGTGATTACAGTGTATAGAATGAGGAATCTAGATACAACCTCATATTGCACTCGGGAGCGAAAAATCTATTCCACATTCGTTTTTCTTATATATATGTTCCACTAAAAGAAGATCAACTTTTATTAAATTATTTTTTAAAAACATTTTTACGTTTCTTCAAAAATTACAAAATATTCTGAAAAATATTCTTAAATTTTCTAAATATAATAATATAAATAAATCAAATTTTGATTTTTTTTTCATTATATTAAAAAAAAGGTTGTAAATTTAAAATAATTTTTTTAAATCACAAATTTTTTTTGAACATAAAAAAAAAGAAATTAAAACACGGAAATAATATGGAAACGATTATAAAGCAGCCTTTGACAAAAATTTCAAGAATATCATTCAAGTGTCTAGACAATTGCGTGGACACACAATGTGACATTATCATCTTTGTTATCATTAAAATATTTCACGTTTCCTTCAATGAAGAAAAATTTGCATCCCACGATGAGAGACAAAGAATAATTTGTTTGTTGCTCTCGCAATAATTGCCCAACCTTCGAACAGAAAGAGAGAGAGAGAGACAATTTCCGTGTCACGATTGTACGTGCCGCTTTTTATAGTACCATTTTTACTTCGATTATAGGCTTTTGCTTCTTTTTTTTAGGAAGTCACAAAGAATTCATGGGAAAAAGTCTTTCTTTTCCTTCTCTTAGTGGTTCATCACGAAACTAATTGAGAAAAAAAACTTTTACTTTGAATTTTCAATTCACCCAAATTAAAAAAAAATTTAATAATATTGATTTACAATGAAATGAAAGAAAGATAAAAAAATATTTCGAAAAAAAGTTTATAATTGGATAACAATAAATTTTTTTGACGACTTTAATAAAGTGAGATGCGTTTTGTAAATCTTCATCGACGTACGTAATAGCTTCACACCAGAATGTGAAAGGCGAATTCTTGACCGAATTTTGCAGAGGAATCGTTTCATAAGTCAGATTAATTTTTTTTTTTTTCTTTTAATTGTTCATCTTTTACTGACATAAGAAATTTATGCAATTTCGTGTTTTTTTCCGTCTCAAACCGCACAGGAAGTAGGAATAAATTTTGATTTGTTATAAAATTAAAATCGTAATTTTATTTATATGAAATTACAAAAAAAAGAGAGGAAATAAAAAAAAGAATATTTTTTCTTTACAAATTTTTACCACGTACAAAAAGAAAAATATAAAATCATAAAAAATTCATCAAATCTTAAATCAAAAACGCACTGAAGAATTACAAATATAGATGCGATCATCTCTTGATATAAAAAACCCCTTAGGGCTGTTGTGCAAAAATTTCTCTCTACCTTTTATGAATATGCAGTAAAAAGTTTTTTTTGTCTTTTTTTTGTAATTTAGAATCAATAAAGCGTGGGAGATTTTCTTTTTTTGTCTCATTGGAAAAAAAAATAAAAAAATAATCGACTCGACATTTCAACTGGAGAAGATTTGTTCTTAAAACCGGTTTCAATGTAATCGCTTACACTTTGATATAAATATGTATATATATATATGTTTATATTTATGTGCATCGTATCATTTCACTGCACTACCACAATATTCCAAATTACCAACAAATTAAATAATACTTTTGTAATCGAAAATAAAACCTTATAAAACTTCTTCACGTAATATTTTTCATTCGCTTTTAACTCCCAAGTGAATAATTTTTTTCTCTTTTTTTTCTCAAAATAAAAGTAAATTTCTATAAATCTCAAAGTAAAAAAAGAAATATTGCAAAATTTCACTGGATTTAAAAAAAAATAATTTTTTTATAATTATTTTTTTTTTTGGTTTAAGAATTAAAAAAGTTATTATTCTTCCTATTCTCAGTGTTACTGATAATTTTTATTTCACGTTCAACTCGCAATAACTTCACAGATAAATTTTTTCAACATTTTTTTTTTTTAGATTATTAGAACGTTTGAAACAATTTTTTTAAAAATTTAAATACGAATGTATATATTATTGAAATGTATTAATTTTTTTTTATTAAAAATAACTTTCTAAACGTTTTGAGCATTTTTAAAACTTTTTTCATTAACTTTTTAGTAGTAACGGAAAAAAATTTTTAATTCAAAAAAATTCACATTTATTTTCTTAAAAATAATTTAAAACATGAAAAAAAAAATGTAAATTTCATCCATATTAAAAAAATTTTTTTTTGCTAAAATGTTATAGGATCAAAAGGGGAAAGCACATTTTGCATAAGATCGATATGTAAATTGTACACCTTTATAAATAATAATAAATAGTTTGACGATTGATAATTATTATTGCCATGAACTTATATATTATCTGACAAATATGACCTAAAAAAATCAAATAAACCTTCAACCCTACAATATCTATTTATATATTATTAAATATAGAAAATGAAGCTCTATAAAGTACATTTATACTCGCAAGACTTTTTATCGGTCGAATGAAGAGAATGTATAGTTGCAAACTTATATATATTAGGGTACTGACACAAGTTCCGTTAGAAGTAATAAACTCTTGATTACATATTTCCATATAAAAATTATTTTTTATCGGGCACTTGTTTTCTCTCACCAATTTTGCTATGTACGCGATTTCACCGATTTTCCGCAGATATTCATATATATGTTTCTACTTCTCTTTTCTTCTCGTGTATTAGTTTCAATTTGTTAAATTAAGGTCAGCAAAGGCAGAAATTAATTTTTGGAAAAATTAAGTCAAATTCTTTGTATCTTTTTAAAATTAAAAGTGAAAAAAATATTTAAAAAAAAAATAATTTAAACTAAAAAAAATAAATTTAAAATATTTAATAAATTGACATTTAAAATACAAAACAATGTTTAAAAAATAATAAATAATATAAAATTAATTTTTAAATTATTCAGTGGGACGTATAAACATTTTTAAAGAAAAAAAAGAAAAATAAAGAAAAATTTGTAACAATTAAATAAATATAAATTTTAATATAATTTTAAATAAATAATTTAAATTTCAAAAAGTCTAATAAACAAACAAATAAAATTGCAATACAAATTAAATAAATTTTATAAAAAATTGTTTTCCAACCATAATTTTGTTGTATAAATATTTGTTTTCCTATTGCAAGCCAGAATGCGTTGTTTATTCTTGTAAATTACGAAATCGAAACGTTGTAAATTCATGAGAATTGGAATTCAAATTTTGTCTCTCTATGGAAACGAAAAGAGACTTTAACGTGTACTGATTTGTTAATCGATCGTTTTTTTTTTTATTTTTTTTTTTTAACAAAACATTTGAACAAAAAGACGCTTAAAAGTTTTGCATGATTTAAAATGCAAATTTTTATAGACACAAATGTGGCTTCTGTAAAAAATTTAAAAAAAAACTAGCAAAAAAAAATCCTCTACATTTCTATTTGAATAAAACACGCATAATTAACAACTTCAAAACGTCGAAATTTCATCATTTTATAATTAGACACACATAAAATGCATCCAAGGACTAAAAGTCCTTGATAGATAACCTTCTTTTTAAGATTTCATAACTGAAAAAAGAAAAGAAAAAAAATCAAATTTCTATAGTCGATTTTTTACGATGCAAAAAAAAATTTTTATTTTGGCACTAGAAAATTAATAAAAAATTTATTGCAAATTTTAAATCAATTTTTTTAATTGTTGAAATAATATTCTTTTTTAAATTTTTAGAAAATGAAAAAAAAGGATTACCTGCGGTGGAAGTATTTTTTTAAATAAACAAAATTGTTTGGAATAATAATATAAATAAACAATTGTTTGTTATAAACAAAAATTTTTTATAATTGACGAGAATAAATAATTTTAGTTGTTATAAATATAAAATTATGTTTATTATAAATAAACAATTGTTCGTTTTAAATAAACAATTAATTGTTATAAATAAAAATTTGATTATAAAAAAAAATAAATAAATAGTTCCAAAAAATATATATTCAATTATTTCTTACATAAACCAAAAAGAAAAAAAATCTTTTAAGAATTAAAAAAAAAATTTCCCGCGACTTTTAAAGTGTCCCACAAGCAATAAAGATAATCGTTCAAAAGTTTGCGCACACTTTGTATATACTTATAACTTACATATATAAATATCTCAAGGAAGTGTAAAGACAAGACATAATACCGGTCAATATTACTTCTAGTGGTAACTAGAGAAAAAAAAGAATTGCAGGTTTTGTAATATGCAAGTCTTTTTTTTTTATTATCTTTCCTAGTGACTCAGTACATAGAAAGTGTCTCACATTCTAAGTTGTATATATGCAAAAATCAGGTCAGAATTCTTGGATGAATTACGATTTTATATATATATATAACAAATATATTCAATTTGTAATTTCTTCACTAAATTTATTCTCTCATTGTCCATCGAACTGAAAGGACTATTTAGAAAGAAATAGGAAAAAAAAAATTTTTTTTGAACTGAATTTTTCTATTAAATTATAATTTGGGATTGAAAGCAAAAAAAAAAAAAAAAGAAGGGAGAAGGGTTGTGCGTTCAATATATATTTATTGAGTAAGGCCACGCGCACACAGTGAAAGTGTAACATAAACCCCATCTGCATTCTACATAATAGTCATTATTTGGGATGTCAGGGTTATGGCAAAAGTGAAGAGAGGTGAGCTTCAGTGAATTTAGGAAGGAGGGAATCATACAATCATTCCGTTTTTTTCAAAGATTCCATATAAACTTCAGAGGCAGTTCACCTCCAGCATCTTCCATGAAAGGAATCACTTCACTTCCACGTGCGTGTAGTGCAAAATTAATGTGAAGTTTGTACACCTTTTTTTATTGTTGAAAAAAAAATTATAATTTCAAAAAGAATTTATAATTTTTTTTTTCTTAAATTTTTTTTTTTCAAGAAATTGTGACTTTAAATGAGATTTTTTTTTTAATTTTGTGACAATTGTATGACTTCAAAAAAGTTTCTAATAATTTGAAAAAAAATTTTTCCTGGACAAAAAGAAGAAATTGTAGGAGAAAAAGAAATTTATTTTTTTTATTATTTCTTCGCAGAACCGATAAATAGAGAATGAGTTGCGGTGTGATAACAAAATTTAATGGATTTACCGAAGAGTCATTAAGATTTTTAAATGTGAAAATTCGATGACATCGATAATATGAGGGATGTGCTGTGATTGTGTTCAATGTGTCAAACGCAAAGAACTGTGGCAATCGGGCGTGATTGCGAACAGGTGCGTTTAATACGAAAATCCATTATTGGATGGAGTCAACGTGTCATTTCGCTAATTTTCACGATCATCATTTTTCTCGGCGTAATTCAAGGTACAAAGAAGGTTATTAATTTAATAATAATTTATTAAAAAAAATTAAATTTTTCAACAAATTTTTTGTTTATGCAACAATTTAAATTAATAACAAATTTATTTATTTATGAAAAACGAGGGTAACAATTATATTAATTAAATAATAATTAATAGTTTATAATAAATAATTATTTTTTATCTTTTAATAATAATAAATAATAATTATTCGACTTAGTCATAGATTCATAATCAAAAATCAATATTTCATAAAACTTCAAAAACTCAAAAAAAATGAATTAAAAAATCAATTACTTATCAATAATAGAAAAATTTAAAAAAAAATGTAATTTTTTTTTAACTAAATCAAACAAAAAATTTACTCTGAATTCTATGTACATATATTTAATATGGTGAAAACGACAATATTCTTGACGTTAACGAAGTGGTAACTATGTATTTAATTAACATAGTTCACACAGCAGTAATCATCTTAACGCGCGACTTTTATCATATAGCAGAACGATCCACAAGATAAGTAACCCAGAGACCTACATGCTTAGAAAGATTTACGAATTGCATTGTCCATAGGACTTTAATTTTGACATAATAAAATACCCATAAAATATTATCTATCTCAAAAAAATACTCAAAAAAAAATTTTTTTTTAAATATTAATGATGAATAAAAAAAATTAATTTATTCATATTATATTTAAATTTTACTTGAAGTAATTGAAATACCGTTCATTGTATAAAATAAGATAATCTAAATTACATTATCTTTATAACTAAATCATATAATATTGTAATATTTTTTAAATTATAAATGCTATTAATTTATTTAAAACGTTTTATGTAACTAATAATAGATAATTGTATCTGCATTATCTGTACAAGATAATGTCATCTAGATAATTTTATCCGGATAATATGTACAAGTTAATCTTATTTAGATAATTTTATCCAGATTATTCAATCAAAATTGTACAATGAAAAAAAAAATTTATTTGATTCAAATAATCGGTTATCATTTAAATATTTACTTGAACCAAATAATTTTTATTTGAATTAAATAAACTGCATTTGAACCAATAATTTCTGTATTTAAAACAAAAACCATAATTATTTGATACAAATAAATATTTATTTGATAGTAGTCAACTAACCGATTATTTGAATCAAAAAAATTTTTTTTCAGTGTAAAATACGAAAAATAAGAGACAAAATTGTATTTAAAAAAAAAATTGCCAAACGAAAAAGAAATTCATTGTTGAATGAAATTGTTTTTTTTTAAGTTTAGAAGGGCTTTGGGTCGTGAACTTTTTTATTGCCTTTATATAGTAAAAAAAAAAAAATTTCTCCTAAGAAGAAAAGAAAGTGCTGCGAATTAGCACACTTTGCAAAGTTCTCTTGAACAAAGACAATATTTAAAAAGTTATATACATATATATATGTCGACCATAAACGCAGGTGATTTATCAGTATAGTTGCTAGCTTTAGAAGAAAATTAAATCTTTCCGTCAGAAAGTGTCTTTTCCTTGCAGATTATACTTCATATCTGGACTATGATCATAAATAATAATTTATAAATTATCAGAATCTTCATTCAGATCGAAATTTGCAAATTTTATCAAATATTGATATTGGATTGATTTTATTTTTAAAAAATAATTTTCTAATAAATAATATTCTATACAATATTATAATTATCAATAAACAATAATTATCAGTAAATAATAGTTATTAATAATAATTAATAAATAATTCTATATGAATAATAATTAAATTAAGAAATAAATTGTTAATTTTTTAAAAACAAAAAAATAATAATCTTCTCAACAGTTACAGGTGGTGATTATCAGCAAGAACTGAATAAAAATGCAACCTGGGAAAAGGAGGATCTCTATTTAGGATTCAGTGGATTATTAATAAATAAGAGGAAAACTAGACTTTCTGATTCCCTTTTGGATACAAACTCTATAAAAGTTTCGTAAGTTCCATCCTCTTGTCGTCATGCTCCATTTTTTTTAAACCATTCCTCTATATAAAAAAAAGTACGCTCATAATTAACATTATCTAAATTAAGTATTCTTTTAAAAAATAAAAAAAATAGAAAATAAAATTTATTATTTTAACATTTGATTCTCAACTCTTATGGAAAAAAGAATTGGAATGAGTACTAGAATTTGTATTGGAATTCTATTCGTTTTTCGAAAATTAAAAATTTTATTTTGAAAAAAAAAATTGGAAAAAATTTTTTTTTTTTTTGAACATTCAGGTCAAACTCTCCAAACAAAGAGCAAAGACGATTCAAAAGAGGAGTCATTCATTTGTATAATATGATCGTATGTGCCAATGGCTGTAATCCTTTATCCTACAAAGGATATGGTTGTTATTGTGGATTTTTAGGCTCTGGCTTCATTACCGATGGCATCGACCGGTATGAAAATGTTCTATTTTCATAAATTTTAAATAATGACAAAAAAAATTAATTTCCTGTAAAAAACATTTTTTTTTAATTCAGGCAAATTTTTAATTTAATTCAATAAGAAGAAAATTTTCTATTTAGAAAAAAAATTTTTAAAACAAAGAAACTCACTTAAATTGCTAATTGTAGATGTTGTATGATGCACGATCGATGTTACGACGCTACTGAATGCCCAATGTTCCTGCAATATTTAGTGCCTTACTATTGGAAGTGCTTCCGAGGTCGAAAACCAATTTGTGGTTCGTTAAGTCAATTTTTTTCATTATACTTTTAATTACGACAATTTTTGCAAAAAAAAAAAAATAAATAACATGAAAAATAAAAAAAAATTGCAAATTAAAATATTTTCAAATCGTAAAAATAATAATAGTACCAAATATTTAACTAAAATTTTATTATTAAAAAATTATTATTATTATTATTATTATTATTATTATTATTATTATGATTATTATTTTATTATTTTATTATTTCTATTTTATTTTTAAATACTTTTTCTTTAAAAATTTTTATATAAAGAGAATTTTACTGTTTTGCTTATTGGTTTTTTAAATTTTATAATTAAAAAATTTTATAAATAAATTTTTTAGCTGTGGAACACGGAAAATGGGGAGGATCAGGATCGTGCGCTCAACGATTATGCGAATGTGATCGAGATTTTGCTGAATGTTTATCAAATTATCCTTGTCCAACGAAAAAAGCCGTTTGCACTTCATCGCCGTGGCGTCTCGTTCAAAATTTATTTATGATTTATTGATTATTATTATTTTTTTTTGCCTTTATTCTTTTGTGAAAAATACACAGTTACCATATTAATAAGCCTATATAGAAAATTTGTGTAAAAAAAAAAATGAGAATTATTTATAATAAATCTTGTTGTATATTTTTGATATACCAAAATTTTTCCACTTATACTATCTTTACGAAGTGTAGAATATCGAATGAAATTAATTCAATTTAATTTAAAAATATATTTCCTATTTTGAAATTTTAAAGCGAATACTTTTCGCAAATGCAAGAAAAAAATACGTCATTTCAATTTTTCTCATTTTTATTAAAGTTGATTAATTTTTGCCATATATTTTTAATGATGAAAAATCTTTTAGTTTTTTTTCTTTTTAATTCTAAGTGCGCAAATTGTTCTTGTACGCAAAGAATTGAAAAATCCTTTTGAGAGTTGACATGAAAGCAAAAGCATGTAATTTACTAATTTATATTTGTCTCCCGTGGAACACATATGCATATGAGGATAATTCTTTTTTTTATTAATGAATAACAAAGGTCGTGGTCCAGGTTACTGTGCCAAGATCCCAAGAGGAAAAGATAACAATCAATTTGCGACAAAAAGATTTGTATCTCTAGTCACTCATGTAGGCAAAAAAAAAGAAAAAGATTTATAGTTAACATAAAAAAATAATTAAAAACTGAATTTTTAATTATTTTTTTAATTATTTTACTAATTTTTTTTTTAATCGATTTTTCTATAAATTCTATTTCTATTTAAGAATAATTTTTCGAATTGAAAACTTTCTCTCGAAGGATAAAACTTTCCATCTCGTCTGCATATATTTTTATTGTACACACAAATTCAATGAATCATTTTTTTTACTTTTTTATTTCACGCTCTACTTCCTCCCATTAAAATGTAACTCAGATTTTGAAATTCCATGGGCACTTGACTTCTTTGTGAATAAATTAGCAATAATGGAAATCAATTTTCAGATGAAAATGAATCGAAAATTAAATTACAATTGCAAATAAATAAAATGTAACAAGAAAATAAACAGAAACGATTTTTTTATAATTTTTTATTATAATATATGCGAATTTAAAAAATCTGTAAATATACAACAAACAAAAAAAAACCCTTTAACCTTTAGTTGAAAATTTAAAAAAAAAACAAATTTACAGTGCATTCACGCCTCCTGTTAAGTAAACAGTCCTATTTTTATATTTTTTCGAAATGTCCTCCTCAATCTGTAAAAATTGAATATTTAAGTCAGTTATAAATATTAAAAATTAGATTAAACATTAAAATCTAAAAAGGACTTTTTTTACCTCATTTTGAAGTTCTTTAGTCCTTTGAATTACTATTTTTAACATTGGTTGAATATCAATAATTTGCTGTCGCGTCTCATCCTTCTTTTTTTGCATTGTCGTCTGTAAACTCTTCATTTTTTCAACCATTGTCAATTTTTGTTTCAATGTCGCTGTCAATGTATCAACATATCTTTGAGAGCAAAAAAAAAGAAATCAAATTTATTTAAAGTAAATAATAATAATGATGATGAATAATATAATTTAACAAAAAATTACCTAGGCGAATGTTTGATATTGTATAGATGTTGAACTCTCGAGTCCAACATTTCGGATAAAATAATTTGCAAATTATCCAACATATTTTGTGTACTATCCAAAGTTGCCAATTGAAGAATTGAAGACGCTTCTTGCATTTGACTCATGCTTAATAAATTTTTACTATTGTCACTTTTAAATTCATAAAGTCTCAATTTTAGGAATGCTTCCAACTGCAACATACATTTTTTTCGTTAATTAATTATTTGAATTAATTGAAATAAAAATAAGATGAATAAAATTAAAATTTATAAAAATCAAAATTAATTCCAAAACCTCGAAAAGTTGATCGATAAATTCATTTCTCGTTGATGGATTATCCAAAACTGTGAGTGCTTCTTTTCCAGTTGCAACTCCACCGTCATGACCATCGGCCTCAACAACAATTCCCGACTCCAGGGAAATATTATAATCAATTTCACCTTCGGCAATTTGTTCAACATTAACATCGCCCCAATCAATATCACCCTCCGCCGCTAAATTAACATCGCCAAAATCAATTGCACCATTTAAATCTAATCCACTGAAATTTGCATCATCAATGTTGTCGCCAAAATCTATCTGCAAACGAAAAGAATTGTCAATGGTATAGTTTTTCAAATATATAAATTTATTAATTAATATAAATTATAATATAAAAATTAATTGTCTCTTTCTATTGAAATTTAGAAGTGTCTAAAACATATTTTGAATTAAAAATCATTTACAGTGTCATCTAATTTATTTTCATCATCGAGACTAATGTCCAATGGAGTTTCAATAATGGACAAAGGCGGTTCACCGTAAATCCATTCATATGTCGTGGTATTTCCTTTTTCTGAAAAGAAAAACATGTTTTCTTATTTATTAAATGAAAATAAATTTTAATATTTTGGTAAATAATTGCGAGACTGTCAATATTTAATATAAATATTAATAGTTTGAAAAAAGATAAAGAATTCATATAATTTTGCTGCTTTTAAATTTTGAAATTGATTTCTTTTCTTTCATTCTCACCAACTATATATTGCACAAGTGGAATACAGCCACCGCTGTGTTTTCTGCCAAGTGTAAATTCCACGAAAGCATTGTAAAATTCAACAACATTTCCAAGTGATTTTGTTTTTTTAGCCACACGTTGATAAATTTCCGGAAGTTCCGCTAATCTTTCAACTAATTCCTTCTTTATATAATTACCCATTATTCCCAACTGTTTGCAAGTCACATTAAATTCCGAATGAGCGATATTCTCCGATTTTTTGTATTCTATCTCCTTTTTACCCAATTCCTATATTAAAAAAAAGAAAAGATTTTTTCTATTTTATACATATTGCAAGAGAATTATTTTTTAATTGAGAAAAAATCAAAGAAACAAATTAAAAATCCCCACGTTTTGTATTTGCTCCAATTTTTGGATTTGCTTCTTAAAACCAGGAACTTCATAATTAATATTTCTAATTAACATTTGCGCAGCTTCAGCAAGATAAAGATTGTCTTTTTCATATAATTTGACAATTTCCTGCCAATCTTTCATTCGTTGCGATCCATAACGTCCAAATAAATTTTTTGTATCAGCTTCAGTCTCTTTGAGAATTTCAACAATTTTCTTACAATGAAAATAGTTTATGTCTATAAATAAAAATAAGTGTTATTTATATTGAATTAATCACAAAAAATTCTAATTAATCCATTTACTTATAAATAAATTTAAGATATAAACAATGAAAAATTAAATAACTAATAAAAAAAATTTAATTTCATTAATTAATTGTAAATTTATTCTAAAATATATTTACGTGTTCCAGAAAGTAGTTTTGCAATTTCTTCGTGAATTGGCATATCCTGAATGGCATTGTTGATTTTTTCTCTAATTGATAAAATATGAGTTTGCCAATCTTTTTTACAATGTCGTCGATTTAATAACCATTCCAATAATTTACCGGAATTAATATCAATCGGTATATTTTGTTCCTGGAAGAAAGGAGACAATTGCTTTTTTTATTATTATATATCTAATAAAATCAAAATAAATACATATTTTTCCCCAAAAATACGTGCAAAGTTACTGTCAAAAAAATTATACAAATAGATTTTTTTATATAAATAAAAATTACCTCCATTTTTAAAATAATTTTTATATTTTCTATAAAATAAACAGCAAATATTTCAATAAGTTTCCAGCTGTTTGACGTGGTTTTGTTTATGAACTTTTGGAGTAAAACAGAATTTTTAGGTTATGTTAACAAAGAGAGGTGCTTTAGACAAAATTCTAATTTCCCGCCTGTCTAATGAACAACCACGTATATATACTTCCGGTTCTTGTAATATCTCGAATCACGATTTTACTTTCTAAAAACTTTTAAAAAATAGGGAAAATATAATTTATTGTAAGGTAAAAATATTTATTATTGAAAAATAACACCAAAAGTCATTTTATTCTATAGTCAATTTTACATTTAATAATAAAATAATAATATTTAATCCCATTTGCAAAATATCTCACACTTTCTGAAGTTGTCTGCACTTTTTGAAAGTTTTAATTCGATTGGTTGAAATTCTCTTCTCTCGATAATAGCATTTCGATATATATCGAAGGCATTTCCCCATATACCCTAACAACAACGTTAAATCTTTTTTTGTTTTTTTAATGTCCTGAGATTAATTGTTTATTCTTCGTAAGTTTCAATTAAATTGTAGTGTGATTATTGTTTATAAACTAAGTGAAAAGTGTTACAAAGGAAACAATAAGAATCTTCAAGTTTTCTTCGATTATTGTAAGTACAATTTTTTTGTCAATATAAAAATATGATTTAGTATAATAAAAAAACATTCGAGAAAAGATACATTGTCAACACGTGTTAATGATTAAAAAAAACGTTATTAATCTTTTAAATCAATATATAAATTTGAAAAATTGAACTTTTTGTCGTTTTTCATTAAAAACAAAATTTTTAGAAATGGAAAAAGACAATATTGAAGGTTATATTTTCGTTACCTATATATATTTAACAGTTATTACAATAATAGGATAGTTTCTGTTGAAAAAAGAAATCTAACGGTTTTTTGTTGTCTTTTTGATGAAATTTTTTAATATGTTACGTATTTATTGGCATAACCTCAAATTTAAAAACGGGTTTAAATACAATTTGGGATATATTAAAAAAACATTTCTAATTTTCTAAAAATTATATCGATATTTTTTGTAACAAATATTTAAAATTATTTTAGTAAATTTTTTTTACTGCTTTCGTATACATTAGCAAATTTTTTTTAATAAATAAAACATCGATTTATCAGTGATATTTTCCATTATCAATTTACCAAAGTTTTGTTATTAAAAATAGAAAATAATTCAAATTTTTTAAAAACGTATTTTATATAAATTTTATTAATTTTACAATTTATATAATTAGGGGTAAAATATTTTATTTTGAGGTTATGAGGAGTAATCGAACTAAAAGTTTTCCGTACACACGAAATTATTATTAGTACAATTTATTGTTTTTTATTTATTTATTATATTATTGCCTTTATTGTTATTATTAATAAATGATAATTAGTGCATTAAATTCTTTATGAAAATTTTTACTAAATCAAAATTTGAAGAATCGACTTAAAATAGTTTGCACACATAAACTTTTATAGTCAAGACAGGTTTCGCAAAAATAAAAAGACACAAATTTACACAACTATTTTTAATTATATTACAAATCGCACTCAATATAAAAAGGCAATTTAGATTTTTTAGAAAAAAATCATTTCTTTTATACTTCATTCTCCCAAATATATAAATTACAACTTGACGTACAAACGGGAAATAAAATTTCAAATGATTTTTTTACACCTTTTTTTATCTCGCTATTTGCTCTCGCAAAAAAAAATTGTACACTTTTTTTCCTTATAAATTAATTAATTAATTAATTAATATATTCAAGTTACACACATGACACGCAGTTGTTTTTTTTTTTTGTTGAAATAATTAAAACTCCAGTCTTTTTTTTTGGTTCAATAATGAAAGGAGTTCTCATTATACATATATAATACACACAATTCATAGCGAGGTAAATTATTTCAAAAAAAAAAGAAAAATAAATGACCCTCAAAAAAATTATATTTTTCCTAGTTTTAAATTACATTTTAGAAAGTGTTTGATATGGTTTTTTGTCTGTGAAGAAATTTTTCAATATATACACTTGTCCAATACTGATAATTAAAATTGCGAGAGTCTCTTGTAAAGACCACCAAAGAACACGTTCATTTAAATCTTCTGCCCTTTTACGTCCTTGCGCTTCTCGTAAACGATGATGCGTTTGTAAATCGAGAATTGTTGACAAACTCTTGTGAATTTCTTGCGACGCCGATTCCATCTGAAATCAATTATATTATTTTTTATTTTTTATTATATTATTAATAATATTACTATTATTAAAAATATTATTTATATTTTATTTCGTTATTCAAAAAAATAATGTTTTAAAAGGATTGAACTAAATTTAAAGCTGATTTTTTTCAACAAATTTTTGAATAAAAATTATTACCTGAGTCATTACAGTTACATGTTCGCCAACACCAGGCAATGGTTGTTCCTCACCAACTTGAAAGTCCATGTAAACAATTTTATGTGAAAATGTTGAAAATTCATTGCTAAAACATGCTTTATAGGGACCTGACATTAATGGCGTAAATGTGTAGGAATCAAATTGTGATTTCACTTGACGATAAATGATTTCTCTACTCGGTGCTTCTAACGTCACATCCACATCATATTGACCTCCAGTTACAACCTGTTAGGCAAAAAAGACAAATATTTTTTCAAAAAACAGAAATACAAAAAAAAACAATAATTTTTTTTTAAATGACTTTTATTTTTAATTTTAAATGACAAAAAAATTTAATTTCTTTTGAAAATTAAAAATAATAATTTTTGTTTGAAGAGGAAAAAATTATTACGTATTGAATAAAAAATAATTAATTAATTAATAAAAAAATGAAGGTAAATATTATTTACAAATTAATTAATTTGCTTTGGAAAATTTTTATTTTTCCTTTCTTTTATCACTAATTCATTATCGTTGATAACGAATAACCATTAAAATTGTCTTTTTTTTTGTAGATGTGGCAATGTTAATATTGTTTAAAAAAAAAAATACCTTTTTTCTCTCATTCAAAATATGGCAAAAAGAAAACCCGCCCAAAAAATTAAATTGATTTACAAATTCATTATACGCTATTTCTTTTTTGATTCGAAGAATTTTATATACCTTTTTTTATTCGAAATTAAAACAGAAAAAATATTTTAGGTTATCTCAATTTTTTTGACACATAAAAAGTGACATTTGAAGTGTTGAAAAAAAATAATTCATTTTCTCTCTAAATACAAAAGATAAACAGATAAAACAAATTTACTCAAATATTGAAAAATTGTATTTTTAATGTACTTACCTGGAATTCTAGTGTAGATGAAACATTTTTCTCAATATCTTGATAAAAGCATTGCTTTTCATTGTCGGGTAATTCGAAGGTTAACTCGATGCCATTGACATGTAATATCGTGGCAAAAAATGAGACAAAAAGAAAACACACTGACCAGTAGTCCATTTTATTTTTTTCACAAGTTCAATTGTTTATTTAAATTAATTAAAATTACATTTAAAGTTGTCGCGAGTAAAATTTTATTCACGTATTTTTTTTTTTATTGAAAAAATATTTCCTCTGGAAAATCCCGGTGTAACATAAATATCACGCAGCTCAAAAAAAGACTTTTATAACGTGGCCGGATATTATCTCTTTCTGCTATACAAACATTGAGCAAATGTCTAATGTCACGGTGTCGTCTGCTAGATTTTTAGCGCGGGAATTTTTGAAGTCTTTAACGGTTATTTGTAATTTTTTTTTTTACTTTTTTTTGTTATTAAATAATATATTTAAATTATTAAAAAAATAATCAATTAAATGGAAGGAATTAAAGAAGAAAATGTTTACTTTTGCAAAATTTGTTTTTATTTGAACTTTTTTAATAAACCATATATCTTTTTATATTAATCGCTTTTACTCTCTCTTTCTCTCTCTTTTTATATTATAAATCACAGATTTCATTTACCCCCACCCTACCCCTATTATAAAGTTTTTGACAAAATACATTTATTTTACTTTTTAACAGAGTTCGAATTTTCTTTTACGACATATTTTTGAATATTTTTTATGCTAAATAAACATTAAAAAATATTTTATGTTAGAAAATTGTTTTGTTCTACTTTTTTGTTAGAAATTTTTAAATACATAAAAAATACTTTCTTTTTTTTCAATTGAAATACTTTGTCAAAAAAACATTTTTTTTGTTACAAATTCTAAGCTTAACTTGCATAAGAGAAATATATAATACATTTAATAGAAATGTTTATCTATAACGAATTATTGTCAATTATATGATTGAATTTGTAAATTATTAATCAATTATTATATAAATTATTAATTAAACAATTACTAATTACTTAAATAATAATGTTTTAATTGATTAATATTGACAATTCAACGATTTTCAAATAATTGACAAAAACTATTTATGAATTATATTAAAATAATAATAGTAGTAATAATTATTAATTAATTAATTTACTCTTTGTAATGTTTTAATGTAAAAATTTCTTTCTGTGAAACAAATTCATCACTTTCAATTTCATCCTCCTCGAGTAGTTTATTGAGATTTGTGAGGACAATTTCTTTAAATTTTCTTCGTCTTTTTGCAGTGAGTTTCGCGACATCGGGCATAAGGCTTTTAAAAAAACTCCAATCTGGATTATCTTTATCGCTTGATTTAACTTCTGTAAGAAGATGATCAATTATTGGCCCAAGAACGTCATCATTAATGACAGTGGGTTTTATTATTTTCGATATTGAATTAGTGGCACGTTGTTGACTTTGCTGTTGTATTTGTTGTTGTCCCGTTGACGTTGGATCCTCGTATTCAATTTTTGCTGTACTCAATTCTTCATCCTCAACTTCTTCCTCATTTTCATAATCAATTACTTCATGTTCATCGAGGCTATTTGTTTTCTCTTCCCAATATTCAACAGTATTACTATTATTACTTGTACTACTTGGTTTATGTTGATTCATAAAATTATACAAAAAATCCATAGAATCAGCCAAATACCATTTTCGTCGTTTTCGTCCTGTTCCTGAATTAGAATTTCGCGCTTTTCCATCGCGTAATGCACGAGCATAAGAATTTCTTAAAGATGCCCATTTTGCTTTGCATTCTGCAACTAAAAAAATATATATGTTTTTTTATTTAAATCAATTTTTAAAATATAATCTCCAAAAAATTACTAAATAATAATTTTTATACTTTTTTTACAGCCGGTTTTTAAATTTAAGGTTATGTTTCGAACATTTAAAAGTGGGTTTTATTTTTCACACGGTTTCAAATAGATTCAATGTTTCCATGAAGAAAAACAATTATTTCCCAAAAATCGAAATTGAATTTTGACAGATAAATAAATCAACAACGAGATTCAAATCAGCAACATTGGGACAATAATTGTATCTAGTTATACGCCTCAATATATTTTAAATTCTTACCAGATTTATGCATTTCCTGTGCAATTTCTTCCCATAATTTTTCCAATAGACTACGACTTCCATGTTCCATCATTGTTGAATCATAAATCGCACGTTTTGATTTTACCAAATTAATTAATAATTCTGCCTCGCAATCCGCCATATTGCAATTTTCTTATAGTCAGGCCACACACAAAGTGCGTTCGGATCAGAATATATTCAAATTACTATATGGTATATAAAACTGGTACAATTTAAATGCAAAACAATCAACTAAATTGAAAATAATGGAAAAAAAATTATGTCGCCGAATAAATTTGATGATTATTTTTAATAGAATTATTTCATTGTGTTGTCATTTTTATTGGCGAATACCACCAGTGAGAGGGAATACGATGAAACTATTGTGTGTAATTCCATCTGTAACACGCTTGCCGAGCTGGCTCCGAACTGTTCCGAACTTAGTACCCCCACTTAGAGTTAGCAGGCGCGTAATTATTAGACGCTGCACCCAGGTTGAATAGAAAAATTTTTATAAAAATTTAATTTTTTTCCTATGAGTGTAATAATGCAAATTAAGAGACTTTTAACTGGAAATTACTTCGCGAAGCTTGTTTACCAAAAAAATTGAGAAAATTAAACAGTAGAATTTTTAGGTTAGGGATGTTACTCTGTCAAATTGGATATTCTGAAAATTGAACCGGCTGGGTTACCTTTCGGTTAACTTTTGGCTAAATTTCGGTTTTTTTGAAAAATATTTATTAAATCGAGAAAATATAGAAAAAAAAGTATTTTAAAAGATAAATAAAGGTTAGAAGAGTTAATTTATATAGAAAATGTAACAATTGGAGAAATAATTTATAACTAATATCAATTGTGCAATAAGTAGGTGTCAATTTGTCATTTAATGGAATTTTGAAATATTTTGATAAATTCGTATAAATTAATGGGTAATTTAATTTTTATTCAAAAAGAAATACAAAATTTATTAAATTCTATTATTTGAACGTCTAATTAAAATTAATAATAATTTAAATTGTTTTCATTTTTTATAATGTTGAGAAAACAATTTTGTATATGTAGATACAAATAATAGAGTTTAATAAATTTTATATTTCTTTTTGAATAAAAATTAAATTCCTCGGAATTACCGTTATTTGAATTTTTGAAGAATTAGCTGATACTATTCAGTTTACGAATATTGAAACATTGACCAAACAGAGAAACTCAGAGCCAAATAAAATTTTTTAAAAATTTCAAAATGCATTTTAAAAGGGAAGAATACTTTCAGATACTGTAACGAACTTTTGGAAAAAAAATTATCTCTTGATACACTGTAAAAAGAAAGTCTTATTTTAAGACAGAAAAGAGGTCTTATTTTAAGAAGCAACATTTTTAAGGCAGCTTTGCTGAATTTACGCAAATGCAATAATTTCCATTACAACTACTAGCGCTGATTTTAAGACTCATCTTAAAATAAGATTTTCTTTTTACTGTGATGTTACATGACCTGAAATATGGCCAAAAATTATCTTTTTGCATTTTTAGATTAGAATATCTCGAAAACCTAACGTGATGGGTTAATTCTGAAGTCAGATTAGGGTTCAACAGTTCAGAAAAGTATAGTCTGGTTTTTGGCTCTGAAGTAGGTGAAAATGTTGTCAGTCTGTTATTAGTTACTAAATTGAGGTCGAAGGATGCTTTTTCTTTAAAAAATTTTATCAAGCATTTACAATCAATTACTAAACACTCCAATTTACTAATTTTAGGATTCGGAAAATATCGTCTAATTGATAATAATTATTTTAAGAAACAAAAGTCCGTCTGATGACAAGTGCGTACTAAAGAAGACAAAAAGTGCACTGCAAGTAGTCTGCGCCCTTAATGTAGAGTCTGTTCTTGACAAAGCACAAGTGACAAGAGTTGCCCCGCGATGGCCTTTGTAGGGGTAAAGAGGGATTGAGAAAGAAGTAGGGGGTGGAAAACAGGGGTGGCTTTTGGTCGCGTGGTATCACGTAGAATGCACTACTGCGAGTACCTAAGTACTTGGGGTTGTGCAGAAGGTGAAGAGGTGATGGTGGGAGGAGAAGGAGGAAATAATTTCAAGAGTAGGGGAAAACGCGGACGGTCCCTCGTCACGGCGGGAAAGCTTGCTTTTGTACTGCACACAGTACAGCTAAGTTGATCCAAGTGGCCACATGGCACCAGTCAAACCATTTAGTTAAAAGAAAAAAGAAAAAGTCCAAACATTTTCTCCGAGTCCTCTTCTTCGTGAATCCAGTGTCTCGTAACTTAGTGCTTGTGAACTCCAAAAAAAAAAAAATAGTGCAAATATTTTTTTAACATACAAGGATTCTTATTTTTTTCACTGGCATTGTAATAATACAAGGTTAGTCGAAATTTATTTTTAACTAATAAATATTTTGCAATTTAAAACTAAACCCCTTGTTACAAATCAAAAGAATTTTTTTCTTCTTTTTATTTAGTTCAATTTAATAAATGACAATATTTATCACACTGAAAGTAAATATTTACTATACTGGAAATAATATTTGCAATACTGAAAGTAAACTACAACACTCAGCACTAATTTGTTTATAACAATAAGTAAATATCTAAACTTTCATTTAGAAACAAAATTTTTAAAATTCTTTTTAAAATTTGTACCAAACTCCTCACTCTTTCCCCCTATGACAAACGGACGGACAGACAGCAAAAAGGGTCTAAATTTTCATGAGAAAAAATTGAACGATTTTTGTGTGAAATAGCATCTAGGAACTCAGGATCGTTGATCTATTCAAGAGATACATAAGTTTAAAATTACGAGCTGGCAAAGCCGGCCCATGACGGTCACGCAGAGTGATTTCATGAAAGAACCTGCACAAGACATTGACGAGGAGAGAATTTCTCTAGCGTCTGTCTCTCTTTCTCTCTCTCTTTTTTTCGACGATGATGCGAAATCTGATGGGGGGGGGGATTACCATATATATGTATGTCCCTCTCTTTCATCTGCATTGAATATTCTGTATAGGGTGAAACACCCCTTCAAAAAAAAGCTTCATGTATTTCGATAAAACAAGAATTTCCCCATACTCGAACGATAGTTCAAATAGCTTCTTCTTATTCTTTTCTATACATGTGTTACATATCGAGAAACGTGTGTAATCTGAGGATTTCCGAGGGTGTATATATTTTTCCTTATTTTTCCATGTGCGCCATACTAAAGGACCCTCTCCGCCTCTAGAACTTAACTTATGATTGGAATTTTTTCCTTTAAATTCAAATTTGGCTATGGAAATTTTAACGAAATATCCTTTCTCTCTTGCAAAAAATAGAAAAAAAAAATATTAGCGTCTTTTGAATTATATTTTTACAAAACAATTTCAATTAAATCTAATAAATTTTTCATAAAAATTATTAGTTAAATAAATTTTTTTAACTAATAATTTTTATGAAAAATTCTTTTACCCCATTTTGAAGAATCATTAAAAAAAAAAATCATGGTACTTTGACGAAATTTTGACATCTAATTTTTGTGCAAATCTTTTTAAAAGTTTTTTTTCTCTCTCTCACTCTCTTCAAAACTTTATTGCGGGAAAGTTATATACTTTTGAAAGTTACTTTAAATTTAAGAAGGAAAACATTTCGTAGTTTTTGGCATAAAAAGAAAAAGAAATTGAAGGTTGAAGAGGGTAGAGAAAAGATATGAGGAAAAGAAAATATGGAAGAGCGAAGAGTTCTTTAAATTGAACTCCTTGGCTTTGGTGTGTGTCTCGACGTGTGCACTCTTTCTTGACTGGGTATAAAGTGTCACAACAACTGAGAGTTTACACACGAAACCTCGTAAAATTATGCGACATGAAATGTACGGTTATGCATTATATTCAACGTGAAATTTTCTTTGTGTGCAATGACTTAACTGCACTTCATTGTTATAAACTTTTTAATCTATATACTTTGGTTTTAGATAAAATCTAATTTCACGTTAAATATATATATGTATAGAAACGTTTTAAACGTGGCTGAAATTTTTTTTTGTTTTTCAAATTTTATTGCCTGTGAATATAATTTTGTCATACTTAGATCTTTATTTTTCATCTCAAAATTTATCGCCTCATATATAACCGAATTTTATTTTAAAAGCTGAAAATTGATTTTTAATTATAATCGAGTTGCCTTGGTAACGAATGATATTTAAAAACTTTTATATAATTTAGCGCAGATTGATATTTATTAAATATTTAATTGCATTAGAATTGAGTTTTTTTAAATTTCAAGTCTATATTTTATAATTAAGTGTCGCAATTATTTGATATTAAAATAATTTTGAGACTTCTCTCTAAATTTGTCCTTGTCCGGAAATTATATATTGCATATTTTATTTTTATACTTTTTATCTATTTTGGTGAATTGGAATTTATTATTGAATGAATTATTGATTATTATTACTTATTATTGTAATTTTTTACGCGGATATTATATTTGATGAACAAGAAGGAGACCTAAAATGTAAAAAATGAGAGGTTATGTTTCTAGTAGTTTTTTTTGTCTTTCATTTAAAATACAATTGCTCTCTATAAAGAAGTTTATTTATTTATTTAGAATTATTTATTTATTTAAGAAAAAAAAGATACAAGATTAGAATTCGAATGAAAGTCCAATGTGTGTATGTCTCCCCCTTAGATTCGAAGTACAAGCACTTGGAGCACGTTTCTCTCTTAAATTAATCATAAGGGGTGTCTGGCTTTGTAACACACGTATATAAGGGGAAGTCAGAGCAATCGATTTTTTTTTTCACCCTAAAGTGTTCTTGTACAAAACAGTCTTTTTTAATCAAGACGTAAAACGTCTCTCCTTTTCCTCTTTGGAAATTAAATAAACATCTTTACCTCTCTTTTTAGCCATCTGTTTTGTTTTTTTCGCAGATTTTTTACACTGATTTTATGTTTCATTTTTACGGTATAATAATTTATCTCTTAAAAATTAGGGTTTAGTACTAAAAGAAAATAATTTTTTTAAAACTTAAATTGAATATTTTTTTAAATTTAGTCTCTTAGGATTTGTATATATATACCTACAATAAACCTATTACTCGGGAGGAACTTGTAAGGTTTCATTTTCAACATGAACGAGTTTCTAAACACAAACGCGTAGCTTTTGTTTCATTATAAAATACGGAACTTTTAATCAAGTTAAAACTATCATAAACATAATCTATAATTTTTTTGTTTCTTGGATCCTTTTCTTCAGTGTGAGTCACAAACATCTGTTAATTTTTACAATAACTTAAAAATTACATTAGAATGAAAAGAGTGACATTTTTTTTGACTTCTCGATAAAGAAATATTTTTTTTACATGATTAAATCTTTATTATGTCTCCGATATTTTAAAGGAAACTAAAAAAAGATTAAATATATATTAGCATAATTTATTTCCTGTTTTGTGTAGCGGG